CATCAGCGTATGAATGGGTGAATGGGGGGGTTGTGCAACCCTAAGAAGGCGCTATACAAATACAGGCCATTTACCATAAACACTAGCCATTATTTTGGACAAAATAAACACGTCACACAATTATTTGCAGCGATCTACTTTAATACTGCAAGGATGAAAACTAGAGGTAACAATTGCCTTCAGGAGTTTCTAATGAGAAACAAGCTTGCAGAGAAACTAAATATCCAAAACATGAAGATTAGATCATCTGAACCATCATGCAGAAGTCGTGTAAGAAGACCAGACCAGAGAAAAAAAAGATCAAGACATAATCTGAAAAAGCTGTGGAAGTAAACAGACTTCTGTGTTTGGCTTGTAGATTTCATCACGTCACCTTGTCTGATGAACACTTTGTGCTTTCTTACAGAGTTCACTAGAAGAATTGTGGTCCTGGGAAAGACCGGAGCTGGAAAGAGCAGTCTTGCCACACATTATTTGGAGAGAAAGTGTGTGAAACAAATCACAGTCCACATCTGGAACAGCTAAATGTCAAGCAGAGTCGAGGATAGTCAATGGACGGAGCGTTACTGTGATCGACACTCCTGGGTTTTTTGACACAGGGAGGTCTGAGGAGGAGATGAAGGTTGAAATAGTGAGGTGCATCACAGAGTGTGCTCCTGGTCCTCATGTCTTCATCATCGTGCTGAAAGTGGAGAAATACACAGAGCAGGAAAACGAAGTCATAAACAGGATGGCTGATTATTTCTCAGACGATGCTCTGAGGTTCGCCACCGTGCTTTTCACTCATGGAGACCAGCTGCCTGAGGGAGAGAAGATCGAAGCGTTTGTCAGGAAAAGTAAAGACCTGAGTCACGTCGTCAGGAAGTGCGGTAACAGGTGCAACGTCATTGATAATAAATACTGGAATAACAACCGGGACGAATACAGGAGCAACCAGTTCCAGGTTGAAGAGCTGCTCATCACCATGGACACGATTATCAAGGCAAACAACGAAGGCTACTATACCCATGAAATGCTCCCAGAAGGTGAAGAGAAGCATTGAAGAAGAAGAAGATCGTCTGAAAGAAGATGATGAAATGCCTTCACTGTGTGAGATCAAAGAAAAGTCTAAAGCTGTTGCCCGGAGCAACGTTGTTACACGATGTTTCAGGACTGAACACAAGGGCTTCTGTTAAAAATATTTCTGAGTGGGTCAATGAAACTGGTAACGACAGAGGACAGAGTCATACCTGGACATGGGGCAACTAGTAGAACGGTGGCAGTTCCTACAGGAGAAGGTGCAACAGATGGACCCACATCATCCGATGCAGAAGCAGCTTCTAAAGATGAAAAAGCGGTGGAACATCTGAAGTAATCAGTTTAGGTCAGGGGTTCCCAACTGGGGGGTCCCCAGGTTTGCACATATTACATTTATAAAAAAAACAGTAGTTTAGTCAACACTCTGTATAAGGGGTAATAATTTTGTTGTATAAGGGGTAATAACTCAGTTGTATAAGGGGTAATAACTCTGTTGTGTAATAACTGTTGTATAAGTGGGTAATAACTCTGTTGTGTAATAACTGTTTGTATAAGGGGTAATAACTCTGTTGTATAAGGGGTAATATAACTTTGTTGTGTAATAACTGTTGTATAAGGGGTAATAACTCTGTTGTACAAGGGGTAATAACTCTGTTGTATAAGGGGTAATAACTCTGTTGTGTAATAACTGTTGTATAAAGGGTAATAACTCTGTTGTATAAGGGGTAATAACTCTGTTGTGTAATAACTGTTGTATAAGGGGTAATAACTCTGTTGTATAAGGGGTAATAACTCTGTTGTATAAGGGGTAATAACTCTGTTGTATAAGGGGTAATAACTCTGTTGTATAAGGGATGATAACTCTGTTGTATAAGGGGTGATAACTCTGTACGTCCGTATAAAGTCTGTAATTAATGACTTTTAACATGTGTATGGGGGTGGGGTAGACAGTTTTATATTGGTCGGGCAATATTTACCGTTATTTTATACATCAGCATCGGTCGACATTTGATGTTAGTAAAGCCAATTTAAAGTCAGCACATCCTCGGGCAGCCGGTGCTGTTCCAGAATGTCATTTAAATATATTTTTACATTTACTAATAACATCTGTTTAATAACATATAAAACCTACACATTCAGTTTTCATCCTACATAAAAAAAGCAATAAGAATTATAACAAGAAGCAATTACAGAGATCCGTCCAGCCAATTATTTATCAAATTTTAAAAACATTAAATTTTACAACCTAGTAGATTATACTATTTAGAAATTTATGTATAAAGTTGACAAAAAGCTCCTTCAACAAATTTGATTATAAGATTAATGGAGAGAAAGAGTAGTTTTGATTTGAAAGGCAACAAAATAAACACGATACCAAAACATAGGATAAAATATAAAGTGAACGTTGTGTATCAATATATGGAGTCAAAATGTGGAATAAAAGTACCAAAATCAAGAAGACCAAAACAATAAATACCTTTAATAAACATCAAAAATGAAATGCTTAGCTTATATGATGCTATGAGATAGACGTATTTATGAAGTAGAGTTCTACTTGGTTTCTTTTTAGCTATTATTTTTGTGTGTGTTTTGTTTTGCATGGACTGTTTTCTCCTTTCATTAATATAAGAAGAAAAAATTTTTGTGTACATATTTGTTTTCTTCCTCCATTTTTTTTTTTTACCAAAGTTAAAACAAGAAACCAGGTTCGACTTTTTTTTTAAACTATAATAACTTTGTTGTCATTTGTATTTATTTTGGTTAAGGGGAACAGATAACATAAGCTTTGCTTCTTTCTGTTCCTTTTTCATTTTTTGTTTTTGCAAACCTGTTTTGTGTTTTGTTTTTATTTGTGAAGAAATGAAAATAAACTTGAAAAAAAATCTTGCTGATCAAAATGGAATAAATAAGTATTTCATTCATGAAAATGCAAATTGATTTATTTTTTTAAAACGGCATTTATTAGATTGTGTTTATAATATTTCTGTCTCTGCCGGTATCTTTTTGAATTCTTGTCTGCTTTTGTGAAATAAAAAAGTAAAAAAACAATCTTCCCAAAATTCCAAAAAAAAAAGGCTGACTCACAATGTTTAGAAAAGTAGGACGCCGATAATCCCGTCTACAATACCTCAAAAACAGACCAGGGTCTGTAAAAACAGCTACATGATTAATTTCCCATTAGTTAGCAGATTATAGAGGAATGAGAAGCGGCTGAAGAGATTTTTACAGTAAGGTAAACAAAACACCTGTCGAACTGGCTCATGCCGGTCAGACCTGTGTGAGTTTTAATCTCACATAAACACCACCAACACACGGGCACACCTTACTGCCAACTGCTTTTCATTCATTTCTTGTTTTATTTGTAAAATGTAATACCCGTTTCATAACATATAATAGAGGGCTTTTCAGTTTTCTTTCAAAACAGCAACTATGAAACAGAGGCAGGTCAGAGGGTGGGCCTGTGTGGGCACTGGCCACCCCTCCAGAAAGGCTGGTCACCCCTTTTGCCCCCTCAAAAACATCTTGTGTCATATTCATAATAAAAACACAAATCTGAAACACCTAAAATGTCAAATGTAAGATGACATTTTCAAATTGAAACTCAAAAGTTTGATTGTAAGTGAATGCAGCACAGCACCACAAGCAGTGGTCTCCGTCCTGTTGGCCCAGAAAACAGTCAGGTGACAATGAGATTAATAAGATTAATTTAAGTAAACTTAGGAGAAACTGGATTATCACAGATCATGTAACCCTAAAATAATGATCGCTGCCTCATTACCTGTTACCACTGAACGGGTGCAGCTAGCAAGAGACTTGGTTGCAGGTGAATACTTCAGTGTCAACAGGCCAGCCCAATCAAATGCCAGTCTCTTGAAGATTGTGGAGTTTTATTGTGGACAATGATGCATATTGTTGTTTTTTTTGTTTATTTTCACTGCAAGAAACCACAGTGGCTGCAGCACCACCAACAATGACCCCTGAAACCCCCCAAACACACACACACACACATAGGAGAGTTTTCAACGGGTCCAAAATTTCAACGCGCATCCAAATTGACATGACAGATTTGAAGCCGGAACCCAGCCTGGATGACTCTCAAGCCTCATGCAGTTTTGAGTGAGGGACACACACTTTCCTGACTTCACACACACATGCATGAATTCTGAGGCGGGCTCGGGCAGAGAGAGAGAGAGAGAGAGAGAGAGAGAGAGAGAGAGAGGAGAGAGAGAGAGAGAGAGAGAGAGAGAGAGAGGAGAGAGAGAGAGAGAGAGAGAGGAGAGAGAGAGAGAGAGAGATGAGAGAGAGAGAGAGAGAGAGAGAGAGAGAGAGAGAGAGAGAGAGAGAGAGAGAGAGAGAGAGAGAGAGAGAGAGAGAGAGAGAGAAACGTTGCCTCAAATCAGACTCCATGATGCTTTATTATTCCTCCAAAGTGTGTGTGGTAAAAGAGCATAAACAACCCACAAAATGATGTCTGGTGAGCTGGGTTCAGGCTTCAAGTATTTCAGATTAGAGTTGAATGTCCGGGTTTATTGAGAGCTCAGTGCGCGGGCTGCAGCTGTAGATCTGTCTCTGGACAGGGGGGCGCTGAGGACCGGGGTGAGAAAACCTGCTGTAGAGGTTTGATAACTGTATTATTTTTGCTTCATTGCTCACAGTGACGTTAAGCTGATGTTAAATTCAACTTCAAGAAAAGTTGGGAGGAAGCTTTAGTTAATTTTAAATACTAATAAAAGTTTAGCTCCAGAGACCAGAGTAGAAGCCTAAATGTTCCCCCAGGACAGGTTATTGGAGAGGTTTGCCAGTTTGCTCAGCTGTCATTAATCCTAATTCAACTCACAGAATATTTAGATTTTAATACGGACTTCTTTCAATTGGCATTAGAAAAAAATAATTAAGTACAATTTAATAAACCTTGACTTTACATTTACAGAGAAAATCCTCGTTTTAATATCACAAAAGTGTGCCTTGGCCCCCAGACTCTGGACCTCTCTCCCCCTTAGCCTGAGATCAGTGGACTCAGTGGTCTCCTTTAAAAAGCAGCTGAAGACTCACTTGTTCAAGCTGACTTTTGTATGACCTTCTTCACCTCTCTCTCTTTATTCTGCTCTCCCCAACCTATTCCACCTTCCTCAGGATCCACTGATTTCCCTCTTTCCTGTTCACTTCTCTCTCTTTCTTAACATTTTTTCTTTTAAATCCCAATTGCCTATTTTTGCTCATTTTAAATATTTTTTTAAACATTTTCTAAATGCTTTTATATATTTTAACTTTTTTTTTTGTTTTTGTGAAGCGCCTTGTGATTTTTATCTTGAGAGGCGCTATAGGAATGATATTTTCTTCTTCTTCTTAACCAAGGAAAATGATAGTAGACAATTAACAAAATAAGTTGTCAGCACAATGAACATTTGTAAACATTTGCGGTAAAGTGAAGCAAAGTAAAATCTTTATTCGGCTTAAAACAAATGTATAAACGTCCAAAGAGTTTTATTGTAAAGTACTAATGCACTTTTATTTCATGTATTAATGCTACAGAACAGTTTTTGCTATAAACACACCTTAAAGTGAGGCTCAGTCCTGCTGAAAAGTTCTAATGTTTATAGATTATGAGTAAATGATCTTATAAATAATTAATAATAAAACTTCTGATTGACTCTTAAAAGTAGAGCAAGAGGTCTTGGTTTTAAGACCAAAAGACAAAATAGTGACATTTATCAAATCTGTACTTCATAAGATACAAATATTTACTGTGATTCTTGTTTAATTGGGAATTTAACAAATTATTTCTTTGGCAGAAACTGAAATTAAACACAACACAACTGAAATGTAATGGACTGCAACAAATTATAAAAATAAAAGTCTAATAGTTCTCTGTATTTATTTGAAAATACTCGAAGAGTTGAAGTACTACATTTATCTCATTTATCTCAGAAATGATACTAAAACCAGAACGTTTTATTGTGAGCGTAATGTGTAAAAATTCTAGTTTTTTGTTTGATGAAGTGGTCGTTATAGTTCACAGGTCTCCCAGGTGAACGCGTTGGTCATGCCACACACTCACTGCAGAGAAACGAGTCAAACAGGTAAGAAAAGAACAAAGCAAGGGGCAAGTCGCAGCAAGAAAACACACTCAACGGGAACGTCTTGTCATTTTCTTCACATAATTCTGTTCGGAACAGCATGGACGGTAAGTTATCGCCTTTCTTTTCAAAATAAAAAAACAATTTTAGAAAGTGTTTATTTTTATTACACAGTCATTTGGTTCTTTGTTCTTCTGTTCATTAAGATATAAAAAATCATTTGAAGGGTTTAAACTGTGAAATACACCCGTTGGGGATTAGTGGTAAAGCTTGACTTGTTGCTTTGATGTCATTTTTACTTGTCCTATATCTGCCTACAGTTACAACACTAAACTATTCACTAAAACTGGCACAACTCAACATTTACACCATATAGTTGTAATCTCCAAAGTTACTTTTGCGTTATTAGTAATGATACAAGCATATCTGCTGGGGCACCTTTAGGTCCTCGGGTAAAGGACTAGTACCAAGTAGCGTCTGCCTCTAAATAGGCTAATTAAATTTGTAGGATTGGGTCTTTCCAATTGTGTTCAAGCCAGTCTGTAGCCATAGCTCAGTTTTACTCACAAGTCACTCTAGGGGTGTTGGATGTTCCTTGGTTGTACCAGACCCCATTTACCATCATTTTCCATGTAATTAATTTAAAGAGCGGGTCAAGTGTGCCTCAGAGTCTTACTCCACCCACGTATCAATTTTAAAAACTGCAACATTAGTAGGCGTTGCCTGGCGGACCGAGAGGGCGGAGCCGTGGCAGTGACGAAGACAATGGGTAACGAGACAAGCTAGCTCCCTTCACTCTGAGCAGTCATTAGAAGTGGAAGACGTTTCTCCCCCTCCTTACCCAGACACTCGAGAAGAAAGGAATCAAGTCTGTTTGGAGGAGACAAGCAGACCTGAGCCTTATCGTTTTGAGCTTGTGAGTTACCTGAAACTAGCGGAACCGACCTAACAGAACCAGCTCTGAATGGTAAGTAGCCGTTAGCCATAGCATTAGATTAGCTGCAGGGTTTGGCTCCACGGCCCTAGAGAGCTAGTATTCAGCATGTTTTTGAGGTTAATCTGCTTCAACACACCTGGTTTTAATCACCAACAAATAGCTGAGCTGCTTAACAGCTAATCTAATCTGTTAAAGCAGGAAAACCACTGAAACGTGCTGGATAGCAGCTCTCCGGTAGCCCTGGGCTCAAGTTACAGTCTGCTGCATAGAAAGTTATGAAACTACCCCATGAGAAAATTATTCTGTAATGTGTTCAGCCTACTAAAACTGCCCTGATTTCATTATTTATTTACTGATAACAGCTGCTCTTGGTTGTAGGTGATCCTCTGGTGTCTGCAGCTGGTCTCTGGTGTCGTCAGGATCAGGAGCTTCCAGAAGAATGTGCCTTTCAATGACTCTTTCCCCCTTATTTGTTATATTAATTAAATAAATCTCAATTTATATATTTCCTGTTTTTGTTAATGTCCGTAAATACTTAAACATGCTTGAAATTAAAACGAGCTTTTAACAGTGAGGTGCTAGTTTAATGGGCTCTAGTTAAACATGCAACAATGTGATAATTCAATTAATGTAACTTATAAATATCCATTAAAATATAAAAACTGGAATCAAAATGAGACATTTGGCAGCACAAAAAACTTGTCAAACACAATATTTATTATAATAATTGTAGGCAGACAGGAGACAGAGCTGATGGAGGTTCTCAGTCATCGAAGGAAGGCTGAAGGCTTTCCAGGAACAGGAGATGTGGTGTTGTCTCTTCTCTCTCTATTCTGCCAGATGAGCTGATAGGTTACAGATGTGTGAGGACATCCTCATGCTGTCACAACCAGATGACAGAGTTATCAGGTGATCAGCCAGGCTAATGATGAGATGCAAAAAGAAAACAAATCATGCAGAAAGAAAACAAATCCAGGACAGTGTACAATAATCTGTAGTGTTGCTCACCTTATGTGCTCTTATAGAATATTAATGTGTGCATGCCTCATGGTGTAGAGTCCATATTTTGCTGAGTGTCCTGCAATAATGCAGGTTATTAGTTAATTTCTTTTTGATAGCAAAAACAAAATATTTAATGTAAAAGTTATTTTCCAGGTGAATCAGCTCACACGTCACCACCAAGTGTCACAGGACTAGGGATGGGTACCGAATTCAGTACTTTTTAAGGTACAGACCGAATTCCATAGTACCGACCGAGCACCGATTCACGTCATTTCAAACGGTGCCTCGTTTCGGTACCCGTCCATCCTAACGAGAACTTGCCAAGACAGCTGCGCATGCGCAGGAGCGTTTTGTCGTCGCTTGCTGTGAACCAGTTGTAAACAGAGCAGCATGGTAGAAAGGACGCACGCTAAAGCTTGGGTCCACTTCACTAAATGTGATGGGTAACTGCGTGATGAAACCAGCGACAACTATCTAAGTGAGACATCCTCATCTTAATCTGCTCCGGTAGGTAAATATAATTAGCTTGATATATTAGCTTCCGTTTCGCTAATGGTGCGTTCGCTTTCTCCTCGGAACTCCGAATTTCCGACTAGAACAACATGAACGCGCTCTAAAGTTTGGCTTCACTTTACTAAATGTGACGGGTGAAGACGAAACCAGTGACGATCTAAGTGTGAGTCATCGTTTTAATCTGCTCCAGCAGCTAAATAAACTGTTTAAGATATCGTTAGCTTGATATGTTAGCTTCCATTGCCACCATTGTTATCAGCTAATGGTGCGTTCGCTTTCTCCTCGGAAATTCTAACTTCCCAATAGGAAAAATCAATTGAAAAAGGACGGCAAAAGGAATGAAGATACACAGTAAATTTAGTTCACAGTAAAGATGTTTGCTTCAGTTTAATTATCAGTTTATAAAACTACAAGGGTGATGTTAAAATACAAACAGTTATATGTTATTTATCGTGATATTTATCAAATATGGTTATATATTGAGAAAAATATATATTTAATTATAAAAGAGAATTAAAATAATAAACACTAAAAAGTATCGAAAATTGGTACCGCTAAGTACCGGTATCGATTCGTAGGTACCGGGAATTAGTACCGGATCGATTCAAATGTCAAAGGTACCCATCCCTACACAGGACCAGAATCAGTAGCCTCCATGATGTCATGATGTAATCACATACTTATTTAATTGTTAATATCTTAAAAATTCTGAAATGTTTTAATTTTTTTTTTTACCTTGAACAGTTCACTGAGGTTGCACTGTCACTGAGGTGGAAGCTGGAATCAACAGCAGACACCTTACATCTTGGTCTTTTCAGGGGTGTGGACGCTGCTCTGTGACTTTCTGGAAGATGAATTTCCATCATGGTCCCTGTGGGTCACCAGACACACTGAGGCTCTGAGCTCTATTCTGGGTGGCTATGTAAAAAACAAAGAAGTAGCAACTTTATAAATGTTTAAAAGAGCATAAAATCATGTGTAACAATAATCTAAAACAAATTAAAACTAGAAGGTGATAATAAAATGTTTACATAGAAGATTATTAAAAAAAAATCACCTTTGCTACGCCGGTAAGGCTTCACGTCAGCCTGGACAAGTGCATTCTTGCAGACTACTAAATCAGTCTGACAGCCAGTGTCTTGGGTAGATTTAGCCTGAAAAAAGAAATAGAAGCACGTTGTTGTTGGAGTTTATAAAGCCAGATAATATAAAAAGAAACTGTCCTATATAGGCGCTTTATATCATTCCTAGTGTGTGATCGTTGTTATAACGTAAAAGTCAGTCACATATGATGTGGAGAGCCTGAAATGCGACCTCCTGAACAGAATTCCTTACAGAACCGGGTCAAAAGCTGGATTTCACGCTGTAATGATGTCTGTCAACTAGTGCTGCGTTAGTTAGAGCCACTGTTGCAGAATTACCGACTGACACAAAAACAACCCGAATTTTCTCTGAGCCTGACAGTAATAGTCATGTGGACCGTTTCGTCGGCCAGGGCGTCGAGATATGTTCTGATTCGCCGCTGATTCTAACCTCACATCCCGTTCCACATTTTGTGAACTTGACAAATCAGCCCGAAGGCATTGCAGACTGATATTAGCTAATGAAGTGAACCACGTCTCTCAAACTTTGCATTTAGGTAGGGAATTGTCTTTAGAAGATGTAAAAACTTTTATTTAGCGTACTCACCTCAGACTGGAGCCCACCATGGTGGGGGAGCAGAGTCGTTGGGCTGCATCTAAATCGCGGAAGAGCCACGGTGGGCACGGCCTCCCTCTTCAAACGGAGACGTGCAGAATAACCCAGTTCAAACTCCATCATGTTGGCGAAGGAATCGCGGGTAAAATGCTGGTTGCAAACTACAGCACCAGGCGGGAGCTGACTGTTTTCCAGTACACCGATTGCACGCAATCACTGGCGCCTAATTTCTAAGTTCAGTGGAAAGGAGTGCAACCCCACAGAGCCACCGCAACCCACTACACTACACCTTCTCACCAATACTAAGACGATATGGAGCACTAAACCCGAACTACTTTCCTAATAACACTAACAGCCAAACACTAACTAAACTACAATATCCAACAGCCAAGCTAACACTAAATAAGTATGTATAATACTAAAAGCTATGCCAAAGACTAGGGTATGCTAATGCTATATGCTAATGCTGAACTACCGCTAACTGTCCTATACTCGCTGGCAAATCCAACTCCCAACTTGCCACAAGGCGTGGCCGAGACTCTCAATGATTTACAACTTTGACACAGAGCTGCTACGTAGTACTATACTGGTTTACGTAGTATCTTACTCTTTAGCCATTGGCTAAAATTTATTCAAAATTACTCAAATTCTATGTTTTAAGCTGAAGGTGGCGCTATACTGTGGTATTTAGGCAGAATTTTTAATTTTTAAAGAAAATGCATCAAAATGCTAAAATAATGAATACACACATTTAAAACACTATTAGACACTCATTTATACAGTTCATCAGCAAAAAAAAAAGTTAATTTAGACGTTACTTGCTCTTTAATAAGATGGACTCAGGTAGGCTGTGATGTTTAAACCAGGCTTAACTGGTACAAAAGTGCTCATTGTGGGACCACAACATCCCTCCCACATGATTACATCACCAGCAGCCTGAAGCGTGGATACCAGGCAGGATGGATCCATGCTGTTGTGTTGGTGACACCAATTTCTGACCTGAACTTCTGAGTGTTCCAGATTTATCAGACCAGGAAACATTTCTGCTCTAGTCCACCTGCAAGGTTCAACATGTTGTGTTTCATAGGAAGTAAAGGGGCAGCAGTAGCTCAGTAATCATAAGGTTATAGGTTCAATCCCAGCTTCAACCAGAGAATGCTGCTGTTGTGTCCTTGGGCAAGAAATGCAACCCACCTTGCCTGCTGGTGGTGTCCGGAGCACCAGCATTCGGCAGTCTTGCCTCTGTCAGCGCTCCCCAGGGCCGCTGTGGCTACATTGTAGCTCATCACCTCCAGCATGTGAATGTGTGACTGTGTTATGAAGTGCCTTGGGGGGTTGTAGAACCCTCAACCTTATGTTGCAATGGAAGCATCAGTGGTTCGGTTTACTTGAAAGCTTTGATGCGGTCCAAGAGTCACCGGGAGAGTCTTGGCTGCAGAACGGCTTCCTCGCTGGACGCCTCGCTGAACTCGCGAGATCACAACGACTTCAAAGGTCACGGTTTGTTTATGCCAACCGCCATTAAATCAAAAAGGAGTCACGGAGGATGTTGCTGTTTGATGTCATATATGATGTTGTTCCTCTCCAGCGCCAGGATTAAAGCCATGAAAAACACACCGCTGAACTTCTCGAACGATGCTGGGAGTAAATAAGCCGTTAGGTCTCGTGTTTTGATGTTATCTACATAGATATGTAATTGCATCACTATAATAGTCTTTTATTTTGAAATTTACTAGAAGTTTTATGCTGAAACCGTGTGTGATTTCCTGTCTAGTCCTATGTTAACTGCGGGAAATGACGCGTCCCAGAAGCAGCACATTGCAAAAGTAGAACCCGATCCTATATTTGGCAGTGCGCCGTGCCGCTTCTGGGACGCGCCAGAAAATAGTCGCGTCATGGCCGCTTTGAATCACACCCATAGGCTATAATGGATTTTATTTACCTACTGTTCATCTATCATCTAGACCAGTGGTTCCCAACCTTTTTCCCAAGGGATCCCGTTTTTTACCAGTAAAATTTTTGACGACCCCCCTCCCATTCTCTCTTCCAGTACAAACATTATTAAGAAATGATAAAATTGTTCAAGCACATTTTAATATGCTTTGATTCAATAGATAACAGTAATAGTAGGCTCCAGTACAGAACAAAGTCATTAACAAAACCAAACAAGAGCATAATGTGCTTGACAGTTTGATTTACTTTTCTGAACACATTGTTTCTTGTAAACACCGATACATCAATCATTCCTTTCAATAAATGTTTGACACATAAAAAATACACTGAGCAAAATGTACTTAAATGTGTTTATTACTGTTTATACTAGATTATTTACTGTAAAGGCTGTGATTAATCATTCAGTCCTATCTTTAATGAACTTTTGACACTTGAAAATAAAACAGTGAGCTGAGCAAAATGTTCTTAAAAGTGTGTTAATTTTTCTGTACTAATTATTTCCTGTCTTAGTATCAGTAAACTTTTCACTCATGAAAAAAAATGTGAGCAAAATGTACGCTATAAACAAGTAATAAATGAAGTTTTAACCCCTTAAAGTGGAGAGGTCCTGGTGACCCACTGAGAGGCTTTGGCGCCCCCTTGTGGGGGTCGGGACCCCCAGGTTAGGAACCACTGATCTTGAACCAGCCTACTTTTTCTTCCTGCCATTCTTTGTAAACCCTAGATGTGGTTGGGAGTGAAAATCCCAGCAGATGAAAAGTTTCTGAAATACTCAGACCAGCACATCAGGTACCATCAATCATCTGAAAGTCTCCATTCTGATGCTCAGTTTGGACTTGTTGTTTTCACCATGTCTAGATGATTAGACGCGTTGCGTTGTTGCCTTCTGATTGATGTTGCAGTTGTAAACCTGCACCTAATAATGTGGCGGATACGTAACTCTCATAGATTCTTGTTGCCTTCTAGTATAAAAAGGGAATGCATAACTACTGGGATGGTAAACCCATACATACACATGTCAGTGTAAAGGTCTAGTTAGGTTGCCCAAAAGGCTGTACAATAAAAACGACACACAGGAAAGGCTCTTGCACCCCTAGACTTCACTGTAAGTATGAACACATGCAGGGTTGGAGAACATTTAACTAATACATTGATGTCCTGTCATTGTTCCCCTCTAGAGCTGACCACATTCAGAATTGTTCTTCTGGGAAAAAGTAGAAACGGGAAGAGCAGCCTGGCTAATGTCCTTTTTGGAGAAACCAAGTTCAAAGTTAAAAACCTAAATGACTCAAACACAGTTACCTCTGATGCACGAACCAAATGTATCAAAGGCAGAAACCTCACTTTGATCGACACTCCTGGTTTCTTGGACCCGGGCAGAACTGAGAAAGAGGTAAAGCCAGAGTTGACGAGGTGTGTTGCGGAGTGCGCACCTGGACCTCACGTCTTTCTGATTGTTCTGAAAGTAGAGAAACACACTGAACACGAGAAGGCTGTCATTAACAACATACGTGAGTACTTCTCAGGTGATGCCCTGAAGTACGCTGTGGTGGTCTTCACCCACGGGGACCAGCTCCCAGAGGGGATGAAGATAGAGGAGTTTGTGGATCAAAGTGAGGAGATGAAGGAGCTGGTGGAGAAGTGTGGTGGCCGCTGCCATGTTTTTGACTGTAAATACTGGAAGAACAACGATCAGGAGGATGCTTACAGAAGCAACCAGCTCCAGATGGCAGAGCTGCTCAACACCATCGACAAGATCCTGATGGAAAACACCGGAGGATACTACACCAACACAATACTCCGTGACATGGAGAGGGAAATACAGGAAGAGGAAAGATCCATCCAAGAGACATCACAGAAAATGTCTAAGGAGGAAATCAGAGAGCTAGCTAAAAGTAACGTCGTTAGAAAGCAGCTGAAGGCGGCTTCTCGTTGGATTAAAGGTTTGGTTGCTGCAGGTGTAATTGTAGTGTCAGCAGTGTGGATTGGTTCCAGATCTGAGCCGACATTAACAGAAGTTCCACTTCCCCTACTGGACCCAGTTAACCAAGGAATGATGACAATTGGGGAAGCAATACTGACCTCAGCAAAAGAAGCAGGAGCACAGATGCCTCCGATAGCTGTAAGTAGCATGCAGCTACCGGTCAGTGTGGTGCAGGAAGCTGCTGAGGCAGGAATAGAGAACATAGCTGAGCATTTATTTAGGTTTCAGGAGCAGTTGTTCACTTCTTTTAATCCGTTTGAATAAACAATAACGTGGAATCAGAGAAGAAAAAGCTCTAATTTACCAACAAGTTTTTGCTTTCAGCAGATTTTACTGTGGACTCAATCTGGTTAAACACTAAATCTAAAGGAAGGAAAAATGTAAAAATAAAAAATTTAGAAATAAATTTATAATTTTAGTTCAACCAAATTGTTTTTGTTTTGTAGTTGTGAGTTTGTCGGACATTTATGAAGTAATACAAGTTTTGCACCTTCATGCTCAAAATGCTCTTGTGAATAAAAGATGTTGACTGTGCTATTTTTTTTTAAATAAAACAAATTATTACTCATATGTCTTAATTTGTTCTACTGAACCAAACTTCTCAGTGTAACAGAATGAAATTACTGTTTTCCACCTAAAAGTCATTTTCCCCTCTCCTCAGCAGGAACTAATCTGCATGAGATATTGCTCAAGGTCATGCATTTGCTTCTAAACTGCTTCCTTTCCAGCCCAAGAGAAGAATGAAGACAAAGGACTCTTTCTTTTTAATAAATCAAAGACTTCTATTTTTAATAAAGCTAATCAAACGAAGGGTTAGTCAGTAATACAATGTTGACCAATCTGTGAAATGACAATGTTATGATTAGTAAGTTTTAATAAGTAATATGACTTTAATCCAGCTGCACTAGACATCCTGACGACACGTAATGTAAACACATGACACGTTGCTTTTACTCATCCAATCTGAACCTTCCTTTCTGAAGCGTGGCATAGTCACTGTGGTGTTTATAAATCTGTCCAACTTTGGTTCAACCATAAATCAAAACATCCAGATTAATAAAACCAGTCCCACGCCATCTTAGATCAGTTCACCACATTCTAAGAGAAGTATCGGACCGGCCACCCAGACTTCCTTTTTAAGCAAAGAACCAACAAGCAGGATAAAATCTGTTGCATTTTACCAACCAAGCAACGATTCCTTTCAGAATAAAAGCTGAACTCGCTGACCCTCCGGGTCCATCTGACGCTGTCAACCAACTGTCGCTTTTTACCTGGAGACAATCCAATGACTAGTCTGTCGTGCTGCTGACGCTGTTTCATCAGCTCCGGTACCGAAAGAGGGGTTCAAGTACCTGGCAGTCTGGATCTGTACGGAGGTCTCATCCTGAAGGGTATGTGTGGAGCGACAACATGGCGTCTCATGTGTTTATGAAACTCCGATCATAGCTTAAGGGCAAAACATCACTTCATCACTCAGACTTGCTTCTCCGGATACGAGAGTTCTGATGACAACATCACTCACGCATACACCATCCATCTCACGTCTCATTCACACCAAGATCCATTCATCACCCAGAGTTTAGAGTTAGTCTTGTTTAAAATTGTTTAGAAAAAAACCTTCTTAAATTTTAAAGGTGACTCTCTCTTCTGTTGTCTCTCAGTTAATACGAAGTGTTACATAATCCCTGCAATAAAAAGTTCCGATCTTCTGGTTAAAAGTACCCAAAGATCCATAAGATTGATTTCATATTTACTGTGGAATCTCATGTCTTATGGCTCATTAAATGAATGTAAAATTAACCCGTTACATCAGTTATAAAAATCAAAAGTGTTCAAATGAAGGCAGCTGGACTTCGTTAGTTTATTGAAGACGTTTCACTTCTCATCCGAGGAGCTTTGTCAGTTCTAACTGGAATATGGGAGTCAAGCTTATAAACTGTAGCTGTATATTGTTAATTAATGAGCAGAAACTACCCATGAATACCCCGCCTCTCCATCTCCTGATGAGTCATCCTCTATTGAGAGGGAGTCGTGTTGATTAGATGTAGGAAGGTGTGACCTAGAGTGAAACTGCTTAGGAATGAGATTCAAAGCTGCATTACAGGTACTGGAAAGGTGAAATCCAAGGTGTGTATACAACTTTTCAATGTCAGGTCATCAAAGTAGGCTTACGAAGTGTATTTCTCTATATTTTAATCTTCTGACCTCCCGGTACAGCTGGCCCTTTTCTCTCTGAATTAGCAGATTTTTTTTATCATCAATAATCAAACTAGAAACAGTTTTAATTCTTGATGACTTTAACTTTCACATTAATGATTTTATTTGTAACACAGCAGCAGAGTTCATGTCTATTACTGAGTCTTTTAACGTTTCAGGTCCCACACACAAAATGGGCCACAGTCTAGATCTTGTTTTTTGTTTTGGACTAAACATCAACTATTTACATGTTGAAGAGGTTCATGTGAGTGACCACAGATGCATTTCCTTTAATGTCCTATCTAATGTTGAATCTGTCCTTCACAACCTAAAATCAAGGAGACGTATCATTAATCAGTCAGCAGTGGATGGATTTTCTAGATTATTTGACAGCAGTTCAGTTCGGGATGATAATCCAAGACAGTTTATCCAATGTTTGAACAAACAATGATGCAGTACCTTAGATAATGTGACTCCCATTATGCAGATCACTTTTTATAACAGAAGGAAAAGTCCTTGGATTAATTAGAGCTGTTGCCTTGCAGCAAGAAGGTCCTGGGTTCGCTTCCCGGCCTGGGACCTTTCTGCATGGAGTTAGCATGTTCTACCTGTGCATGCGTGGGTTCTCTCCGGGTACTCCGGCTTCCTCCCACATTACAAAAACATGACTGTTAGGTTGATTGGTCTGTCCAAATTGTCCTTAGGTGTGTGTGTGTGTGTGTGTGTGTGTGCGTGTGTGTGTGTGTGTGTGTGTGTGTGTGTGTGTGTGTGTGTGTGTGTGTGTGCATGATTGTTTGTCCTGTGTGTCTCTGTGATGCCCTGCGATGGACTGGCTCTCTGTTCAGGGTGTACCCTGCCTGATTGCCCGTTGACCGCTGGAGATAGGCACCAGCCCCCCACCCCACCCCCGCGACCCTGCGTGGACAAGCGGGCTCAGAAAATGGATGGATGGATTTACAGTCTCAGAAGGACATGCCGCAGAGCTGAGAGACATTGGAGGTCAACTAGACCAGAAAGTCACAGGCTGCACTTTAAAGAACTGTTAACATCTCTGAGTGAGACGGTGAAATGTTCCAGGGCCACTTACTTTGCTCAGCTGATTGCCGTAAACAAACATAACTCTAAAGTCCTGTTTGACACCATAAACCAGATTGTTTTACCTCATGCCCCTCTTATGCTAGTTTACTCAAGGATTGACTGTAACAACTTTCTAGCATTCTTTGTGAATAAAATTAGAGATTTCATGTTTTTCACCCCTTTCTACTTCCTACCCCCATCCAACCACCTTCCTCCCAATCATGGTTCTTCTTTATGCCTGAAAATTTCCATTTGCCTCATTCAGAAACACATGAAACCAGCCTCATGTTCCCTTGGTTTTATTCCTACCACCTTGTTCGTTATGATGTTTGACCAAAATGGCCCATGCATTGTGAATTTTATTAACTGGTCCCTACAATCTGGCTCTTTACCATCTGTTTTCAGACATGCAGTTGTTGAAACTATCCTTGCAGTCACACCTGCTTCGTGACTCGGTGGGGATCTCTGGAACTGTTCTAGACTGGTTTAGATCGTACCTTTCTAACAGAAGTTACAGTGTCTGTAGAAACCAAATCATGTCAGATTCTACCGATCTGTTCTGTGGGGTACCCCAAGGCTCTGTTTGGGTCCACTGTTGTTTCTACTGTACATACACACTCTTGAACAGATAATTGCTTCTTTCCATAATGGCTCTTATCACCTATATGCAGACGATATTCAGCTGACAGACTACTGTAACTCGCTTTATGCAGGCATCAAGCAGGCCTCCATAGCGAAACTACAGAAGGTCCAAAATGCGGCAGCTAGGTTACTGACTGGTACCAGGAGATCTGAACACATCACGCCTGTCTTGGCATCCCTACACTGGCTTCCAGTCTCTTTTAGAATTTTGTTTAAAGTTCTGGTGTTTGTTTTTAAATGTTTAAATGAGTTGGCTCCACGTTATCTAGTGATGGGACGAACGACACTGGCGCGTCAGCACAGTGTCGACTGCACAAGAGTGAAACCCCGTATCGGTGCGTGTATCGCTTTAAGAAAATATCACGTGACCGACACAGGATTGTGTGTCGTTTGGATGCGCCGCGCCAAATTGTGTTTATAAGGAAACAAACTGTATCGACATGTTGCGGATTTGTTGGTTAGAGTTTTGCTGTTTGATTTTGGATTTTTCCTTACTCTCACGCTCACTTTTCTCCGCTGACTTCATGGATCGTTCCTAGAAGTTTTCCCCAGTCTGGAATAATTTTGATCTTTTGACGCCAAAAAAGGTAAATTGTTTTCTCCATTTGGCAACGTTTACTGTTATTTCTGTATTGTAAATGTGTTTGTAGTCTTTCTCTGGTAAGAGGCTTAAATTGTTTTCAGATAAATTAACTATTTATTTTATTGTAGGTGAAGTGTCGGCTCTGCTCCACAGAGCTGTCTTACTCAAATAAGAGCACTTCATCAATGCTGAGGCATTAGAGTTCGGCATGGCAACGATGAATTGGTAGATACCCCAGGTATGTTGAAATTATCACCAAAAAATCTGAATTGTCAAAATTAGTCTATTACACACAAAAGGCTTTGTGTGACTCTGTAGTATTGCTTGTAAAATCCTTTTCATAAGCTTTCTAAAGCTTTTAAAAAAGTATTTCCTTTTGGCTTGCAGTTCCTAACAAGCAAGCAGTGGATGATGCTGTGGTTAAAATGATCATCAAAGACTGCCAGCCACTCACCATTGTTGAAAATGAGGGATTCAGGGAGCTCCTGAAGCTTATTGCACCCTCATATGTTCTACCAAGCAGGAAGGTATGTTTAAGAAATGTTTGCTTTAATTAATCAACTACTTTCATGGTGTGTGTGTGTGTGTGTGTGTGTGTGTGTGTGTGTGTGTGTGTGTGTGTGTGTGTGTGTGTGTGTGTGTGTGTGTGTGTGTGTGTAACATTGGTATTACAGTATTGGTATGTTTACTTGTAGGTCATCAAGGACTTGGTGAGCCAGAAATATGAAGAGGAAAAGGAGAAAACAAAAAAGGACCTCCAGAGCGTCATTGCTGTTAGTTTAACAGCTGATATGTGGACATCCATTAATATGGAGGCATATCTTGCCGTTACTTGCCACTATGTGGACAAAGAAAGCCATGAACTCTGTTCATCAGTCTTGGGAGTGCAGCATTTCCCTCAGAAACACACTGCAGAAAACATGGCCACAGTTAAAAGGAGCCTCATGAAGGAGTGGGGCATAGCAGGCAAAGTCAGGTGTCTTGTCACTGATGCAGCAGCAAACATGATTGCATGTGCTCGAATGCTGCAAGTACGGCAAACCATTTGCATTGCCCATTCCATAAATTTAATTGTAAGAAAATCATGTGATCAAATCTCAACACTAACAGAACTACGCAACAAAGCACGGCAAATTGTGACATACTTTCGATCAAGCACCATGGCCAAGGAAAAGCTCACTCAAATGCAGCAACAGCTGGGAACACCATTGCATAAATTAATAAATGAGGTGCCGACACAATGGAACAGCACCTACCACATGCTGGAGAGACTGACTGAGCAGAAGGAGGCAGTCTGGGTGTCACTGGCCTCATTAAAAACTGATCTCACTCCACTGACTCCAGAAGAATTTGAAATCATTGAAGAGATGCTCAGGGTGCTTGCTCCTTTTTACCAAGCCACAAGAGAACTCTCTGAGGAAAAAAGAGTCTCGGGGTCAAAGGTTATTCCATTGATGAGAATGATCCACATTGAGCTTCAACATCAATCTTCAACGGTGACAAAACCCACTGCTAAACAGCTGGCTGAAAATCTGTCAAAGCGGCTAACCGAGTCCATCTGCAACATGGAATCGCTCAGTGTGATGTCACTGGCAACATTGTTGGACCCCAGGTTTAAAACTGCTGGCTTTTTTAGTCCACTGAAAGCAACTGAAGCTGTCAAGAGACTGAAGTCAGAGTGTGCTGCTGAAATGAGGAGCCATGAGCCTGACCCAGCAGTAGAGGAGCCTAGCACTTCACATGGATCAGAACACAGTTCAGGTATGAAAACACATTTCTTTGTGAATATTTGTTTATTTCTGCGGAAGTTTGTCATGTGATAGTAAACCAATGATTAACAGACTTATTTCCAATTTATTTGTTAGGACACAATCTCTGGAGGCACCTTGATATGGAGGTTGAGGAGAGCAGGATGACCTCTAATACTACAGCCAATTCCATAATTGAAGTCCAACGCTACCTGGCTGAAAGAAATGCACCAAGAACACAAGACCCATTACAATATTGGAAAAATAACCAGAATTTATATCCACACCTTTATCAACTCGCACTTCAATTCTTATGCACACCATCTTCATCTGTACCCTGTGAAAGAGTGTTTTCTAAGGCAGGGGAACTGGTGTCTAAGAGGAGAAATCGCCTTGGAGCAAACTTACTGCACAAACTTTTGTTCCTCAATAAAAATGCATAAATGAATCCATATTTAGTCTTATTTTGTATGATCTAACACAGAGGTTAACACATTTACACAAGTTAAAACTTTTACTTCTGATTTTTATTAGACACATTCAGAAGATTTAACATGCCAACTCATTGTAGCATTTACACAAAGGTTACAAGCAAATGTTAAACTCCTTTCATAAAGAACTTAACAAATTGAGTAAATTAAATTGCATAATGATATAATATTTTGATTACAGGAAAATTAAATCTTGCACACCTGGTGTGGGTTTGCAGCATGTAACCTTTTCCATCTTATTTACCTGCAATGATTTTAGAAATACTGCAGGTGTCGCTATTGAGTGACCAACACAGTGTCAATACAGTGCCGACACAGTTTGGCTAGTGTGTCAATACACTCCTTGAGGTATCATCATTCCATCACTAACGTTATCTGGCAGACCTGATCCATCCTTATGTTCCCGCAAGGAACCTTCGGTCAGCACAGCAAGGACTGTTGGTCGTTCCGAAACACAGACTACAATCCCGAGGGGGTCGTGCTTTCTCGGTGCTGGGGCCGAGGCTCTGGGATGAGCTACCTGCATGTGTTAAACAGGCCAGCACGCTCGGCAAGTTTAAGAGCCGTCTGAAAACACACTTTTATTCTTTAGCTTTTATTTAGAAAGAGTCCTGTTAACTGATGGCTTTGCACTTTTTGCTGCCCCACCTAGATTTTATTTGCGTGTTTTTGTTGGTTTTTAAATGGATTTATATGTTTTAATTTTTTTTATGTTTATTTCTGCTGTTTAGCACTTTGTTTGGTCCTTGGGCCATGTGAAGGCGCTATATAAATAAAGTTTTAGTTAGTTAGTTAGTTAGCTGTACTGCTCCTTTAAGGATTCTGAGTTCTTTAAACTGTCTGAGTTACTAGAGTGTCTATCAGCATCACCAGCTGGCTAGAAGATAACCTCCTTCAGTTAAACTCTGGAAAGACGGAATGTCTGATCATTGCCCCTGAGAGCATGGTTCCCTTGATTAGTCAAAAACTTGGTCATTTATCTTCTGTCATCAAGACGAACTTAAAGAATTTGGGTAGTTTTGACCAGTCAATGTCTCGTGAAGGCCACTCAAAAACAGCAGTCCGAAACTGTTTTTATTACTTAAGAAATATCTCCAAACTGCGAAGGTTGGTGTCAAAACATGAACTTGAAATGGTTCTCCATGCCTTTGTTACAACCCTTGAGAAATTAGCGGTCCAGGAGGTTAGGGTGTAACACAAAAAATAACAAAAAACTGAAAGAAGGCATTTACTATACAAATAAAAGAAAAACAACCAGGAACTTCTTAACACTATAACAAAAAGAGGGAAGTAGTTCAACGTCAGGGTCTCCAGGCCAAAACAACAAACAAAACCACCCCTTTAGCTAAAACAAAAACATGCAACCCTTCTCTAATGAAAAGAAACAAATACAATGCCTGGGCTACACTGGCTGTCCACAAAACAGGAGAAAACGGTGCATCAAAGAAAAAGGCAGAGAACCCCTACCAAATACTTCCCAACTAATAAAAGAATGAACTTCTAGTACAACCAGTATCCACCAAATACTACTGGTATCACAGTAGCTTATGCTACACAGGTTTTAACACCTTCACAATCACCAAAACAGTCTGTGCCCAGGAGTTAGGGGCTGCGGCGCTGGCTGGCTGGAGCTTTTATGCAGGTCCATTGATGAGGAGCAAATGATCCCAGCTGGGCACCCGGGTGTGGCAGCAGACCTGCAAACAAACACCAAACAGGAAGCTCTCTACTCCAAGAGAGCCCCTACAGGTCAATGGACGTAACAGCCTTTATATCCTCCTGTCTAAATTACCATAACACACTTTTTAGAAAGAAAACAATATTTTATATAGCACCTCTCAAGAAAAAAATCACAAGGCACTTCAAAAAAACAAACAAAAAAAATCAAATAAAAAAAAGATTTCAAAAAATGATTAAAATGTTTAAAATGAGAAAACGATTCAAATTTGTAAATAACAAATGTACGGAAGGGGAGAGAGAAAATGAATAGGAAAGAGATCAGTGGATCCTGGGAAAGGAGGAATAGGTAGAAAGAGCAGAATAAGGAGAGGGTGATGAAGGTCACACCAAAGCCTGAACAGGTGAGTCTTTAGCTGCTTTTTAAAGGAGACCACTGAGTCCACTGATCTCAGGCTCAGGGGGAGAGAGGTCCAGAGTCTGGGGGCCACAGCAGCAGATGATCTGTCACCTTTGACCTTTAGCCTGGTGCTGCACAACCAGTAGGCTTTGATCACTGGACCTCAGGGACCTGCTGGGGGTGTAGGGACTAAGAAGATCACCAATGTAAGATGGTGCTTGTCCATGTAAGGCCCTATAGACCAGAACCAGGATCTCGAAATGAATCCTGAAGTTGACTGGCAGCCAGTGAAGCTGGAGGAGAAGCGGGGTGATGTGGGTGTGTTTGGAGGACTTGGTCAGAAGCCGAGCACAGGCGTTCTGAACCACCTGTAGACGGTTCACATGTTTCAACAAAAAAGCCCTTGACCGCCTTCAGGTGGTACAGAACTCTGCAGCGAGGCTCCTAACTGGAGCAAACAGAAGAGCACACATCACTCCTGTTCTGATGTCTCTGCACTGGTTACCCGTTAACTTTAGAGTTCATTTTAGAGTCCAGACTAGAACTTTCAATACTCTACATCAGGGATTCCCAAAGTGTGGTGCCGCTAGGGGGTGCGCGAGGTAAAAAGTGTAATGGCTGCGGAGCTCAGAGAAGTCTGTCATATGTCACCATTAGCGTAGAAACTCATTTGTGGGTGGGCCAAAGAAAAAGTAAGCGGGCACAATAAATGTAATTGAAAACAAGTATATTTTTGCATGTGTGTGTCCTCCACATGTGCCCTAGCTTCATAATAACAATGCGCCGAGCTTCAGCACTCTGGCCTGCACACGCCGATATGTTCCGTATTTGATCATTTTTAACGGTGTTGGAGGAATCTGAAGGTGGCGAGTCATTCTGGCAGATTGTAATTAACACCTGTCTCATGCAGGTGTTCTGACGTTGTAAACCTCACACACAGAACATTGTGGATGTAACTAAATAACAAGAAATGATTCCCATTCAGGCTATTAACAGCGCGCTGAAGATCTGAAGTTCAGAGTGCGTCTGTCAGAGGTCAGACGTGTTCCGGCTGAACCACGGCTCACGGGTGCACATGTGAGCACATCTGGGCTGGGCAGAAGGAATTTTACAACGTTGGTTTAAATAGCACGAGACGCGGTGACATGAGCGGCTGTGCCGCGCGCGCACACACAGATTCAATAAGCGCACACACTGCTTTAACTCCGGCGCGCCATCAGACTGAAGGCAGAAATGAACGCTGCCTCCACCGTGATAAAAACTTTTAAGAGGTTATTTTTCATTCAAGGTCAAATTAAGATATTAGCTTCTGGGATGAGTCGGGTCCGCTCCAGCCAGTGACTCCGAACCTGACCACAAGTCATGTTACTGCAGCATTTGTTATTCCGGTCCGCATGACAGCGGATCGCAGATTCAGCCACACCATAAAACAGCAATAAGTCGGTCTGAGGAAAAAGTGAACATCATGGCTATATCTTGTCCCCTATTGACATTTGATTACGCACGAGTAGGTGATCAGCTCAGGTTTACGCAGAGCAGAAGGAAGGAGAGCGCTCTGGCCGCACAGGTTAAACGTTCCTACTTTAAGAAAACCGTTAAATTGCAGTGTTTATGTGCTACCTGGGCACTCTAAATATTTATTCAGAGTGAAATCAAAGGAAATTGTAATGGTATCGAATGCTTATTAATTACTATTTAGAAAATGAAAGTGATGGGGAATTTTTTTAACCCTTTCTGTTTAGCTTGACATCTGATATATGTATATATATATATATATATATATATATATATATATATATACAGAGAGAGAGAGAGAGAGAGAGAGAGAGAGAGAGAGAGAGAGAGAGCCATGCCCCGATGTGGGGGGTGTGGGGGGGGGGGGGGTGCGTCGACATGGTCGGGACATAGAAGGGGGTGCGCGGCTAAATAAGTTTGGGAACCACTGCTCTACATTGTCAAGCTCCTCCCTATATTACTGAACTGTTAAAGCCTTATGCTCTAACCCGAGCCCTCAGGTCCACCCACCAGAACCTTCTAGAAGTTCCAAAGACCAGATATAAAAGTCGACGTGATCGCTCCTTCCAGACTGTTGCACCTAGATTTTGGAATGATCTTCCTTTATCGTTACGAAGCATTGACAATCTGGACACCCTTAAAAAGCAGCTAAAGACCCTTTTATTTAAAGCTGCGCTTACATAAATCTTTAATTTTTCTTATTTTTTTTTACCTCAATTTTGTGATCATAATTCTTTTGATTTATGGTATTTCATCATTTTATTACTTTGTTTTGTCCTTATGATTTTATAACGTTATAATTTGTTTTGTTGGAACACACCCTGTGAACCCTCTTTTTAAACCACCACCCCAGTCTGCCAGACCAGTGGAACTGCCCCTGATGTGCACGTGATATTGTAGAGCTACATCAGTCAATACTGCCCTTCGACATTCAAAGCCTTAAAGAACTCCACACTAGCATCGGCTCCACGCCGCCCGGATAGACCCAGCCTTGTCCGGTTGATTCCACACGTCTTTGCTTAGGAATGCAAAGAATAAAGTCAGAGATGTTCTCTCCTCCTGGATATTCAGTATGATAATGAACTGTGCATGCTGTAAGCCCATTGGGCTAATTCCATCCACCAACCGAAGGCTTCCCCTAATGGGAGACAACAATTTGAGTCGACATATCCGTCAGGAGTGGGTGTGTTTGCCCCGGTCAGCCTAAAGCAGACCACCGCAAGAAGATGGCTGAAAAACAATCTGGTTGCACCTTGAAAAAAGGCAGGCTGTGCTAATGTGGACACTCTCTATGCTATCCAGACCATACTGAGCGGATGCTAGTGGGAAAAGGCCCATAAGTCATGGGTCTTGTTCACGAGTGAGGGAAAGATGGAACGCGAGATCAACAGGTGGACTGATGTTGCGTCTGCAGTGATGCGAGCGTTGTACCAGTCTGTCGAGGTGAAGAGAGAGCTGAGCCAGAAGGCAAAGCTATCAATTCACCGGTCGATCTACGTTCCTACCCTCACCTATGGTCACGAGCTTTGGGTAGTGACCGAAAGAACGAGATCGCGGGTACAAGCGGCCGAAATAGAACTCTATGGAACCCACTTATAAATCTGCCTATCACCAGTTTCTGCATTAAATGAATATCTGCATTCACTACAGTGGAAATTAGCAGCAAAACTGTGGCACACCCAGTTCACCGGGCAATACAAATATGATGGTACTGAGAAATATATAGGTACGTTTTTTGTTCCCAAAAACAAACAAAACAAGTGGTTTTAGACTCGCCTGCGTCACCAACCCAAAAAGTTGTGGCTTTTTTACTCCATCATTAATAACATGGTAAGGTTTTGACCTCACACATCAAAAGCAGTAACCCTTTACCATAAATCACATGGTGCTCCTGTAAAACCTGCTGATCTGGAAAATGTCTAGCTTAAGTGCTCTCTTGGCATGAGTTGTGCTATCTGCCATGACACTGACCAAGACAAATGCCTCTTGTTGAGAAATGAAGACATACTTGTTTAAGTTTGGCAAACTAACCCAGCCCGCGTCAGACTCAGTACACATGGTAATTAAAAAAAATAATTAAATGAAAGTATGAAAACATGCAGATGAATCAGAGCATTGTTATTTAGTTAGGTCTTTAAACCAACAGCAACACCAGATTTCCAAAAAGAAAACTAAAACCTTTCCTGTAAACGCCTGTTACAGTTAAAGTCCCATTAGTCATCATCACTCAGGTGAACATCATCACCACATTGGACCCCTCCCTGTGGGGAGCGGTGAGCTGCAGCTGTGGCCGCGTTCGGGAAACCACAAACAAAAACATGGCTGCGTTTATGAACATGACCTCACCTGGGAGTAGAAAAAGAAATGGTAGGATTTGGAATCTTACTCATTAATATTCATGCAATGCAAACGTCTGGCCTCTGATTGGCTAACAGTGATGTAACACTGGTGTGTTATCTTCACAAATAACACAAGCACAAAAGTCTTCCGCCATGTTTGGGGTTGCTAATGCTATTCCATGGTGGAGACCACGGACAGCTCCTTCAGAGGCAGACTGAGACCTCCCAGATGTAAAACAGAACGCTACCGTCGGTCATTCATCCCCTCTGCTGTAAGAGTGTAGACCTCCTCAGTTTGACTGGTACTGGCATTGTCCTGGTACACAATATCATCAATGCAATGTTTAGGATGTGTTCAATACTCATTCAGTACCAGATGTACATTAGTACGTCTGTGTCCCTTATGCTGCGTAGTTCTAGAAACACAAGTTTCCTTTTAATTTGTTGTTTTTAGCGGTTGGAGGTAACAATGATAGCTTACTGCCTTTGTGTGTTTACCTGTAATCTTCTTAATATTTTCTCTGAGTGGTGGTGCTGCTGTGGCAAGTGAATTTCCACACTGTGGGATTAATAAAGTCTATTTTATTCTATTCTATTTATAATTTTTAGCTTCTACTAGCCAAAATGCCTTTCACTATTGCAAGCCAAGGTGGGCGAGGCCATGAACAGAAAACTTTTTCTGACCCGATCACCTTCCCTTTATTCACACTTATTTATCTTGCGCTTCTTCTGCAGACGATGGAGGTAGAAGAACATGGTCATGTTCAGCATGCACATGCAAATCAGTGTATTTTAAAAAGAACAACTATTACCAAAAAGAACAAGTATTACCCCGGCTGCGCACTGAAAGCATCATCTGCACTTCTGGAACGATACTGTGAGTAAATAAGCGGTTGGGTCACACAAAAGCTTCATTTATATTATTTTATTATTTTGAATATTACCGGGGATTTTACACTGAAACTGTGTGATTTCCTTTCTAGCCCTATGTTAACTGTGGTAGGCCTAATTGACGCATCCCAGAAGCGGCTCGCGGCAAAAGTAGAACCTGATCCTATCAGAAACAGAACCGGTGTAACCCACACACTATTCTAATCAGCTCAGTGGCCTAGTGGTAGAGTGTCCGCCCCGAGACTGGGAGATCAGAGTTTGATTCCTGGTCGGCTCATACCAAAGACTTAAAAAAAAAGGGACCCAATGCTTACCTGCTTGACACTCAGCATTAAGGGGTTGGATTGGGGGGTTAAACCACCAGATGGTTCCCGAGCGCGGCTGTGTCTGCAGCTCACCGCTCCCCCAGGGGATGGGTCAAATGCGGAGAATAAATGTCACACACTGATGAGACTTTAACTTTTAACTGTAACTTTAGCAGTGCGGCATGCCGCTTCTGGGATACGTCTGAAAATCGCAGAAAGTTTGTTACACTCCATAGACTATGATGGATTCTATTTGAAGCTATGCCATTCCACTGCCCTTCCATGCCGCTGATGCACAAACATCGTATAATATCTTAGACTTTTGTTTGTATAATAGCTTCATAAAATAGTGCCAACACATCAAAAGCATCTTATTTTTAATTGTCCTTCTAACAAAGAAAATGTACCTACTCCACCCTTCAGAAATTAGAAGTAGGTAACCTCTTGGAGGACAGCCAGTAATTCTGATACATAAAGGATGCTGACAACATTGAGCATGACTGATATTCTAAAGCAGGGGTGTTGAATCCTGGCCTGGAGGGCCGGTATCCTGCACGTTTTAGTTTTAACTTTGTTTCAGCACACCTGATTTCAATCAGCAGGTGATTAACAGGCTTTTGACTCTATCTTCATATAAACCCTCTTGATCTATTACGGTAGCGCAACTCGGGTTGTGAATGACCACAGTCACCAATTCTTGTCATGCGTCTATGTATGTCTGATCTCAGAATTGTGTGTACTGAAACTCTAATTTCCCTCTGGGATTAATAAAGTATTTTTGAATTGAATTGAATTCTGCGGAGCTTGAGGAGCTGCTGCACAGGTATTCAACTACTGAATCAAGAGTGTTGGAGCAGAGAGACCACTAACATGTGCTGGAAACCGGCCCTCCAGGAGCAGGACTGGACACTCCTTTTCTATAGTGAAACAAAAGCTCGTGTCGCTTACACATTAGCATCGGCACGGCCCCAAAAGGTATGGAACGGCACTGGAATTTGGTTTCACACACAGGCCAGATTTGCGTTATCGGTGCCGAGGTGACTCTTTTTCTCAGACCTTCTCCCCAGCGGTCAGACTGGGACCGAGGCGACACTGCGGACTGATTGGCCGGCTGAAATTACGCCTACGGCCTCCGATCTGAAGAATGAACCGGCGGGGGGTTTCTGAGAAGCCTCTCAGATTTATATATCTGCTGTCTTGCTCTTAATTTTTGTTCTTCTTTTGCTGTAAAGGAGGACCCACTCGAAAACGAGATGTTTCATCTCAAGAGGTTATTCCTCCGTATACAATTATGTTTGAATAAATAAATAAATAAATAAATAAATAAATATGTGATAACTACACCGCCTGTTCGAGACCGAACTCAAACCATCCAACTCGACCAAACCCCGACCGTGCTGACGCTAATGTTTAAGCACCCATGTTGTCCTACATCATGATGGTTATTTAGACTCCACATAGGCATGTATGGGGTTTCTGTATTTGAGGGTAAATAAATGTAGAATGGCAATTAGTTCAGAAAAGAAGCACTGATTCCTTCAATCAACAACACATTTCTGTATTTAGTGAACTTTAATGTTCACCTATGGCTGTAACAACACAGTGAAACATGGCACTCGTCATTACCCAGCTAAAGGTTAAAGGTGACAGGATGTGACAGGTGTTAAACTGATAAAAATGTCTCTTTAGTTAATGGTGAAATGAATAATGCAAGAAAAATGTGTGTAGTAAGCGATAGTTCCAAAGTATTTTTATTTTGCAATGAATCTTTTCAAGAATGTGTAATCTGCTTGCGAGGAAGAGCCAAAAATAAAAGTTTGATTTGCAAAATGTCACTTTTAAGGTTGGCAAACTTGTGAAAAGAAAAACATGATATTTAAGATAAAATGTAATCAGCTTTGTGTTAAATGTCACTTTTAGGTTTCTTTGTTATAAATTTTCTTTGACCAAAAATTTTAAAACACAGTATCTGTTTGGCAAGAAGAAGTGCCACCGATCTGAACTGTTTGTTGGTTGTGAACTGGTCTAAACTGTAGTTTAAATCAGGCAAGAATACTATGTCTTTGCTTTGTTCAGGTAAGGCGAACCAACAGGCCAAACCAGGAAGAAACGAAAGAACAGTAAAAACACAACAAAGACTCCGTACAGACAAGACTGTCCTCGCCCCGATAAACACCCAAGACCTGTTCCAAGTGGCTGCTCTGATCTACTTTACCATGGACGGTCAGTTGAGTTTACATTTTATTTGCATCATTTCTAATGACAAAATGTAACTTCATCGACTCTCTGAACTTTAAACATAGTTGTTTCTATCCACAACTCTTATCAAAACGTCTAAGGCTGTTGACTTTCTCAGACTGTTTTATTTCTGAATGAAAATGTTATGATGAAAGTTGGGATTTAGTGACCTTCTACATGTACAGGTCCTTCTCAAAAAATAGCATATTGTGATAAAGTTCATTATTTTCTGTAATGTACTGATAAACATTAGACTTTCATATTTATTAGATTCATTACACACAACTGAAGTAGTTCAAGCCTTTTATTGTTTCTAGGGATGGGTACCTTTGACATTTGAATCGATCCGGTACTAATTCCCGGTACCTAGGAATCGATACCGGTACTTAACGGTACCAATTTTCGATACTTTTGAGTGTTTAATATTTTAATTCTCTTTTATAATTAAATATATATTTTTCTCAATATATAACCATATTTGATAAATATCAGGATAAATAACATTCAACTGTTTGTATTTTAACATCGTCGTTGTAGTTTTATAAGCTGATAATTAAACTGAAGCAAACATCTTTACTGTGAACTAAATTTACTGTGTGTCTTCATTCCTTTTGCTGTCCTTTTTCATTTGATTTTTCCTACTGGGAAGTTAGAATTTCCGAGGAGAAAGCGAACGCACCATTAGCTGATAACAACGGTGGCAATGGAAGCTAACATATCAAGCTAACGTTATCTTAAACAGTTTATTTAGCTGCTGGGGCAGATTAAAACGATGATGCCTCACGCTTAGATCGTTGTTGCTGGTTTCATCTTCACCCAATCACCCGTCGCATTTAGTAAAGTGAAGCCAAACTTTAGAGCGTGTTCATGTTCTTCTAGTCGGAAATTCGGAGTTCCGAGGAGAAAGCAAACGCACCATTAGCGAAACGGAAGCTAACATATCAAGCTAACGTTATCTTAAACATTTTATTTACCTACCGGAGCAGATTAAGATGAGGATGTCTCACTTAGATCGTTGTCGCTGGTTTCATCATCACCCAGTTACCCATCACATTTAGTGAAGTGGACCCAAGCTTTAGCGTGCGTTCTTTCTACCATGCTGCTCTGTTTACAACTCGCTCGCAGAGACCGACGACATAACGCTCTTGCGCATGCGCAGCTGTCTAGGCAAGTTCTTGTTATGAAGGACGGGTACCGAAACGAGGCACCGTTTCAAATGACGTGAATCGGTGCTCAGTCGGTACTATGGAATTCGGTCGGTACCTTAAAAAGTACCGAATTCGGTACCCATCCCGTTTCTAATATTGATGATTGTGGCATACAGCTCATGAAAACCCAAAATTCCTATCTCAAAAAATTAGCAAATTTCATCCGACCAACAAAAGAAAAGTGCTCACTCCTCACCCCGCCACATGGACGTCAAGGGATAAACCATCAATCCTGCTCAATGGTCAACTTTCCTCGCGGGGTCACACCCGTGGGAGGGTTAACAATGCCCCAGCTTTATTGGCCTTGACTGAACTATCTCAAACAGTTTCATGAAATACCACAATATGTTCCCAGAGTGCTCTTTGAATGGACTTTGACTAAATTATCTTGTCTAAGGCTTCCATTGGGTCTGTATCTGTTAGTAGAAGCCTGTAACATCAAAGGGATTTCCCCACCTATTCTCTGGTTATATAACCAATTAAAATATGTCAAGACAGTGAATAAGTTCAGGATCAAAATGTAATCAGACGTTTTCTTACTTTTACCAATCTTGTCTTCTAGAGCTGAATTCAGTAAGGATTGTCCTCTTGGGGAAAACGGGATCTGGAAAAAGCAGCCTGGCCAACACCATATTTGGACAGAAGGTCTTCACCATAGGCCATTTGCCAGTTTCAGAATCAAGTCCGTCCCGAGCAGAAACCAGGCTTGTGTGCGGAAGAAACATCACTCTGATTGACACTCGTAGTGTTTTTGACACGAGCGTGTCTGAGAATGACCTCAAGGAGGAGATATTGAGTTGTATCACACAATGCGCTCCTGGGCCTCACGTCTTTCTCATTGTCCTCAAAGTGGAAAAATTCACAGAACATGAGAAGGATGTCATCAAGACAATATGCCAACACTTCTCTGAAGATGCTCTGAAGTTTGCTGCAGTCGTTTTCACTCACGGAGACCAACTGCCTGTTGGGATGAGAATTGAGGAGTTCGTTGGTCAGAACAAGAGCCTAAGTGACCTGCTGAGGAGATGTGGGGGCAGGTGTCATGTTGTTGATAATAAATACTGGAAAGTTGATGGTGATGATCCTTACCGAAGCAACAAGTCCCAGGTGACAGAAATACTGAAAACAACAGAGAAGATAAGCATGACTAATGGTGGAAAGTGCTACACTAATGAGATCTTACAGCAAGTTAACAGAGATATACAGATAGAGGAGGAGACTATCGGAGAGTCATCAGCAAACATGTCACGTGAGGAAATTAGAAACAGGGCTCGAAGCAATGTGCTTAAAAGGTGGCTGGTGACACTTGTGGGAGCTGCAACAGGTGCTTTATTAGGAGCCTTCCTCGGTTTGGTACAGAGCATTGCGGATGTTGTTTCGAATCTGCAAGGACCTTCAAATTCTTTAGGCAAAGGAAAAGCCTCATTAGATGCTGCTCTAAAGGCAGGGATCAGGGGAGGAATGATAGGATATCAAGCTGCTGCAGATGCAAGAGATGTAGAAGATGCATTTCAGAGAGCCAAGAAGGATGTTTGGAACAACTCCTCCATGTTGGGATTAGAATGTCGGAGTGAAGACAAGCAAAAGCACTCAAAAAACACAAAGAAACCACCAAGTAGCTGATGTTTTCAGTTTTCACTTAGATCATCAGTTCACATGAAAACTAATCATTATAGAAAAGTTAAGACACAATATTTTGTTTAGGAGACATGGGGGTTAGGTATAAAAGATTTCCAAATGATTATGGGTGAAAATGCAGCAGCTGGGTAAGGAACGTAGCTTAACGCTGAGGAGAACTCTCTGATTTTCTTATATTTTTTCTGAGAAAGCTCAATTTGTTTACCTGAAGGGGCGGGACTTAAATATCATACTGCAGCCAGCCACTAGGGGCCTCTGTCCCCCTAGCTTTTGTGCTTGTTGATGGTGTAGACATACAGCACGTTACTTTATTTTTAGCTTCTTAAAGATTTTGGCACTTTTACTGATAAAAAAGCATCAAAACTACAAATGAGTATGGACAATTCTTAAAATAAAATTCCTAATATTAAATGTCACTTTTATTGCTTGTTTTAAGAAGATGGGAGATGTTTCGTTGTCATCGGTGTAATTGATTTTAATTATTTCAGTTTGATGCAAATGCATTTTAGCTTTCTGTTTAAATAATTAAAATATCATTACAAGGCCATACCTAAAAGATTTCCTTCTTTTGACTTTAATAAAATTATACACAATTGTTTAATCTTGTATTAGATTTTTTTATATGCGACAAAATTTTTTTTTTCTAAACTGGCTACTTGTGTTTACGATGTTACACATCTGAATTTGCATTAAAATCTGCAGCAAAGTGGCTATGAGCCACCAGAGCTAATGTGATTCTTGTCAAACAACTTTTTACTTTCCTCCATCTTAAAGATTATCTTTGAATAGTTTTTCAGTGTGTACCTGAAAGGTCTCTATGATTGTGTACTAGGGTCACCAAGAAGAAGAATAAAATTGCTGTAAAGAAAAAGAAAGTAAACATTTTTTTCCAGAAAAAAGTCAAAATATCAAGACAAATACTCCAAAACTATTGTTGGAATGAGTCAGAAAACCTGCTCAGTGGCCTATGAGTGTCTGCCGTGAGACTGGCAGATTGTGGGTTCACATCTGCAGTTGGGGTCATACCAATGACTTTAAAAAAGGGACCCAATGCCTCCCCCCTTGATACTCAAAAGTAAAGGGCTCGGAGCATGCGCTGAAGGCTGATCACCGGACACACGGCAGCGTTTGAAGCAGATGGCAACTCGTTAACCAACTTCCACAAACAATAAAGACATATTTTTGCCTAACTTATTCGCTGACAACGCAAAACAGTAAATAAATCTGGTAATTATAACTCACTCAACCTGGAGGTAAGCGGAGAAAATTTAGAAAGTTTGCCAACATTTATTGACGAAGTTTTTGAGTTTTTTGTCATGGAACCGAAGAAATCAGCAGCTGAGACGGAAACACCTGGGACCAAGAGGAGCCGTCCCCAGGACTCGCCTGAGGCCTCATCTCCCCGTAAGGATGTCTTAGATTTACTAGAATCCATAGATAAACGGCTGCTGGGATTTGAGGGACGACTCCACCTGCTTGAGGTTCTTCACAAGGAATTCCAAAACCTCAGAGAATCTCTTGAGTTCAGCCAGGAGCAAGTGGAGCAACTCGCGGCTGCGGGAATCGGTTTCCTCCCTGACTGAAGGATTTGATCGGATCTCCCAGGACAACAAAGCTCTAAAAGAGACGGTTCTGGATCTCCAGGCACGCAGCATGAGAGACAACCTGGTGTTCACAGGCCTTCCAGAGCAGACGGGAGGAGAAGCGGAGGATTGCGAACAAACCATCAAGAACTTTCTCCACACCCACATGAAGACACCTGAGGAAACTGTTAGAAACATCACCTTCCTGGTAGAACTGGTAGAAGTAATACAACGGCAGAGGTGAGCATGCGCTGACGCTGACGGCCGAGCACTGGATACACGGCAGCGTTTGAAGCTGATGGCAGCTCGTTAACAAACATCCACACTTAAGACGCATTTTCGCCTAATTTATCTACTGACAACTCAAAAAAGAATCTGGTAATTATAACTCACTCAACCTGGAGGTAAGTGAAGAAAATTTAGAAAGTTTACAGAACTATATCGACAGAGTTTTTGAGTTTTTCGTTATGGGTCAGAAGAAATCAGCAGCTGAGCCTGAAACACCTGGGACCAAGAGGAGCCGTCCTCAGGACTCGCCTGAGGCCTCATCTCCCCGTAAGGACATATTAGAATTATTAGATTCAATAGATAAACGGCTTCTGGGATTTGAGGGGCGTCTTCATCTGCTTGAGGTTCTACACCAGGAGTTTCAGAACCTCCGTCAGTCTCTGGAGTTCAGCCAGGAGCAGGTGGAGCGGCTCGCCGCTGAGAACGCGGCTCTGCGGGAGTCCGTTTCTTCCCTGGAAGAGGGAATGACGCGGATCACCCAGGACAACAAGATTCTGAAGGAGACGGTTTTGGACCTTCAGGCCCGTAGCATGAGGGATAATTTGGTGTTCGCAGGCCTCCTGGAGTAGACAGGAGGGACGGAGAACTGGGAGCAAACAATAAAAAACTTTCTCCAGACCCAAATGAAGATACCCGAAGAAACGGTAAAAAACATCACCTTTCACGGGGTACATCGCCTTGGAGCTAAAAGAGGGGACAGCAGAAGACCTCGTCCCATCGTGGCTAAATTTGAACATTTTAAGCAGAAGAATCTTGTTAAAAGTCATGGAAGAGAGCTCAAAGGGAAAGATTTCAGCGTAAATGACCAGTTCCCTAAGGAAATCCTGGATCGGTGCTGAGTCCTCTTTCCGCTGCGCAAAAAGTTTATCCAGGATCGGAAGAGGGCTGCCATCTCGGTGGATAAGCTTTATGTGGACAATAAACTTTACAAGGAGCGAGGAGTGACTGACTGGCTGTATTAGCCCAACATCAGGTCAGACATTTATTACTCTTATCAGGATTCACTGGGTTTGCAAAGAAGGATTCTCCAGAGAATCAAGAAAATGATGGACAACCCTGAGCATTCTCTTCACAAGACTGTATCTGCATCCAAAACTCGCATTTCATTTTAGCTTTTCATCCAGCCACAGGTTTGCCTTTTAAAACAAGTTTAGTATCAAAGCTGGTAAAAATTGTCATTAAAGTGTCATCTATGAATTTTCATTTCTAATTGTCATTCAAATCGTCAAGTTTAAACTTGTTAGTAATAAATTCTTCATTTTTAAACTTGCCTCATTCTTGAAATGGAACAGAGAAAGGTATGATTATTTCTGGTTATTGAAAAAGCAAATATTCCTAACTTCTGATTCAAAAATAAACTTTTGCTATTAAATTAAATTGTCTTAAATTAAACATTAATCTTTGGATTAAAAATAGACCAGACAGGTTGGTGTATGAACTTAGATCGATTGTATAAGTATCCTGGATATTTATACATGATGTAAGCTTCATAGGCTGATTTGCTTGGTCATTCTCAGAATCTACAACTGATAGCAAACAGTGTTGATTCTAGTATGTAGTAAACCCTACAGGAGTTAAAGATGACGTGGGTATAGTTTTATAATTTGGATGTTTTGATTTACAGTCGAATCAAAAAGGGACAGATTTACTAAGCACCACCAAAACCACGCCTCGCATCAGACCTGGACGGTTCTGAATGGATCAGTAAAAGCAACGTGTCATGTGACTTCTTACATTACGTGTGATCAGTCTCTAGTGGAAACATTTAAAGTTATATTACTTATTAAAATCTATAGGATTATAAGATCAAGTAATTAATATTTTCATTTCACAGATTGGTTCACATTTTATTATTGACTAACACTTTGTTTGATTAGCTTGATTAAAAATAGAGTTCTTTGATTTATTAAAAGACAGAGTTCTTTGTCTTCATTCTTCTCTTGAGCTGGAAGGGAAACAGTTTAGAAGCAAATGAGGACCTGGCCTTGCAAGGCAATGTCTTGCAAACTCAGACATCAATTCAGATCGCGTTATAGCCGAACAGGACTTCCGTGAGCCGGCCCTCTTCGTTAGTCTGGTTTAAATCTGCCCTAAAATTAGATTATTTTAGTCAAGTTTAGCCATTGACTATTTTGATAGATTTAGAATAATATTTATTCGGATTTGTGTTTATTATTTTTACATTGTGTTTTTATTGTTTATCTGTTCAGCACTTTATTCAGCTGCCATGCTCTTTTTAAATGCGCTTTAGAAATAAACACTTTATTGGTTAACATTAACAAAGTAATAGACAATATGCCAGTATTATTTGAATTTAGTTACTTTATTTATATTACATAAGCCAGAAATATCATTGTAAAAGAAAAATAGAACAAAAAATATGAGATGGACTCAATAAATGCAAAGCCAGACATTTCAATCCCTTTGTTATAACTGTGATGATTATGGCTTACAGCTGATGGAAACCCCACATTCCAAACCTCAGACAATGAGGATATTGTGAAAAAGTTCAATATTCTAGACTCAAAGTGTCACACTCCAATCAGCTGACGAGTCCAGAACACCAACAAAGGGTTCCCGAGTCTTTAGCTCAGGGGTGCCCAATCCTGGTCCTAAAGGGCTGGTATCCAGCATGTTTTAGAGGTTTCTCTGCTCCAACTCACCAGATTCAGTGGTTGAATCACCTGTGCAGCAGCTCATCAGGCTCCGCTGAAGCCTGTTAATCACTCGCTGATTGGAATCTGGTGTGTTGAAGCACGGTTAAAACCAACAGAGGTGTGACCAAGTCACTCACTTGCAAGTCACAAGTAAGTCACAAGTCTTGTTAGTGAAGTCTCGAGTCAAGTCAAAGACAACCAAGTCCAAGTCGAGTCCAAAGTCAATGATGTGCAAATCCATGTCAAGTACAAGTCCTTAACTTTGAATTTTCAAGTCATAATCAAGTCATCAATCCAACTTCAATGTAATGACAATGATAATTCATACATTCCAGAATTAGAGCTTCTTAAAGTTTAATTTATTTGCTCAAACAAGCAGAAGCTGAACTAATAATAATAAATAATAATGCATTTTATTTAAAAGCGCCTTTCAAGGGACACAAGGACACTTTACAGCAATAAAATAACAAAGAAACCAAGTTAAAAACAGCAATATGGCTTGAAGGAGAGAAGTCCAGAGACGGGGAGCAGAGCTGCTGAAGGCTCTGCTCCCCATAGTGCTGAGAGGGAAAGATGGGCCAGAGAGAGCGATAGAGGAGGATGATCCACGGGAAAAGATGGGAGAGATAATGTGAATGAGGTCAGACAGGTATGGGGAGAAAGGTTATGGATAGCTTTAAATGTGAGGAGAAGGATTTTGAAATCTATGCGTTGTCTAACAGGAAGCCAGTGAAGCTGTTGCAGGACAGGGCTGATGTGGTGACTCACAGGGGCTTTAGAAATGATGCGTGGAGCACAATTCTGGACCAGTAGGAGCTTATGAATGGACTTTAGTGGTAAACCAAATAGGAGTGAATCGCAGTGGTCAAAGTGCTGCTGCCTTTAGCAGAACAAAATCAAACCCAGAACGAAGAATGACTTATGATTTTTGTCCAAGTCGTGCCACTTTTGTGATAAAATATCAAATTTGCTCAAGTCACCATCAAGTCAACAGACACAAGTCGATTCAAGTCGCAAGTCATTGGTGTTCAAGTCAAGGTCAAGTCGTAAGTCTTTATAGATTTTATCAAGTCAAGTCAGAAGTTATTAAAATAATGACTCGAGTCTGACTCGAGTCCAAGTCATGTGACTCGAGCCCACACCTCTGAAAACTAAGACTTGCTGGAGACCTGCAGGGGCACCCCTGCTTTAGACGGTCTCAAAGTCTAAAATGAATTATTGATATAAATAAACTTTTGCACCATGTTCTTGTTTTTATAGTCTCACCTGTAAAAAAGGTCAGGAGCATTGTAAGAATGTTGAATAACCGTCCGTTTCCCCACTAAAGTGACCTCTTTAAATGACGTCTAACTTAATGTTTTATAGTGTGGTACTTTCTACAGATTGTGCCTGCTAAGTGTGCATTTGTCTGCCGGGAAACAGGTCTGACTGGTTGAAAAAGAACCAAACAAGAATCGAGTCCCAGCAACAGAAGGGACTGGCAGAGGAGGCGACTCGTCGTTTTCTCCGTAAAACCATGTTTGACACAGCATGGACGGTAAGTCGTGATTATTCATTTGAACCTGATATAACTGCCTGTCTTTATTGGCTTGTTGGGATCTTTTTATGCTTTTAGGGTGAGCTAACTGTTCATTTCTTCTGTGTGAGTTTTACCTTCCTTTTCTGTAGCGCAGATGGAAATCCTCCAACCGACCAGTGTGTCAACCACCATTGCATAATAAAGCATTATCCTTGTTTCCCTCCAGTGCCAACTACCGTGAGGATTGTCCTGCTGGGAAAAAGTGGGAATGGGAAGAGCAGCCTGGCTAACACCTTTCTCGGGACGCCTGTGTTTAGAGTTACCCTTTTTGATAACTCTAAAGGTTTTTCTCAAGTAGAAACTAAATGTATGAATGGAAAACGCCTTTCGCTGATCGACACTCCTGGCTTGTTCGACCCTGGCGGGTCTGAGAAGGACACAAAGCCTGAGCTGACGAGGTGTCTCCTAGAGTGCGCTCCTGGACTTCATGTCTTTCTGATTGTACTCAAAGTGGACAAGTTCACTAAGCAGCAGCAAGCTGTTGTCAGTAACATACGTGAGTACTTCTCAGGTGATGCCCTGAAGTACGCTGTGGTGGTCTTCACCCACGGGGACCAGCTCCCAGAAGGGATGAAGATAGAGGAGTTTGTGGATCAAAGTGAGGAGCTGAAGGAGCTGGTGGAGAAGTGTGGTGGCCGCTGCCATGTTTTTGACTGTAAATACTGGAAGAACAACGATCAGGAGGATGATTACAGAAGCAACCAGCTCCAGATGGCAGAGCTGCTCAACACCATCGACAAGATCCTGATGGAAAACACCGGAGGATACTACACCAACACAATACTGAAGAAGGTGGAGAGGGAAATACAGGAGGAGGAAAGTCTCATCCAAGAGGCTTCACAGGACATGTCAAAGGAGGAAATCAGAGAGCTCGCTAAAGGTCATGTCCTACAAAAGCAGCTGGAGGGTTCGAGACCTTCGTGGATTAAAATAGGTCTAGTAGTCACAGGTTTACTAGCAGCCGTCTCAGCCGTGTGCATCGCGTCCATGGAGTCGCCATCAGAACAAACGATCGCAGAGGAGGCGTGTGAATCTGCTGCAGTCGAGGAAGTTGATGAAGAAACAATCCCAGCAGAGAGTTTTTTTTATTTGTTTGAACAAATATTCAACCCTTTCAATCCATTTGTCTGAACACGGTTGTTTTAAGAAAAGCAAAAGTTCTCACCAGTTTTTGAGTGTTAGAAAAACGTTTTTGGCTCTTCCATATTTCTGCTTTTGTTAGATGAATGCTTGAATTTCGGCTTTTCCATTCATTCTGGTGAAAATCCAGAGTCTGGCCACCCTGCGGAGAAAAATCCCTTCAGCTACTTGGATGTGGAGCCCTCTTCTGGCTATGCTCCTTACTGGGGAAACGGGTGAAGCCGGGCGTACACTGTGCGACTTTTTCACTTTTTTGAGCCGATTTTCCAGTCGTGCGAGAATCCACGAGATCGGGGCGAGTTTTGCGCCGAGCGTGGTGTAGTGTACAGGGGGTTACGAGAGGCGATTAACACCACGTGACCAGCTGCCGATCAGCAATCGTGAGCTCGCACGGACTTCTGGCGTGTTTGAAATTTTGCTCGTCCCTCGTGAGGGTATCGCACTGTTGAAGCGGCGTAGCGAGCAGCTGCAACCCAAAAAGTACCAGAACCGCTCACGGCGCATGCGCAATCCTGCATCAACATTGCTCGCCCGCTATTTCCCTAATAACACACGCTGTTCGTTTTTGTTTCTACACGTTTTTTTTTTACACACAATTTCAAAGATTGTCAAGAAAGCGTGTTTGTCGTGTTCATGTCAAATTAAACTGATCACAAAACACAGATTTACTTTCTTTATTTCGTTTTCCTCATCCAACCCCCATAAATCCCTGTGTGTCCTCCTACAGCACTCCCGAAGGACAACAGGCAAGACAAGACCAAAAAGTCTGACGTGTTGAGTAAAAACTGCTATTTTTAGCACATTTTTAGGTCCGACGTGTTGCTACCAGACGTACAGTGTGAGCAGTCAGGTCGCGTCCGAGAACTGGGTCGTGCAGCGTGAGCGCCTGACTCGTGAGATCTGCTCTGCGAGGAAGTCGTACAGTTTGAGCTGAAGCTGAGTGCTACGAGTGAAAAAGTCGCACAGTGGCCGCCCGGCTTTAGGTGATGTACAAGAAGTGGGTTTCTGTTTTTTATCTTAACAAACAGTATTCCACTGTAAGAGTTGGGTTAGGTAGGATTACATGCGCGTGTGTTTGTTTACCATTAGTTCAAAAGAAATCTAAAATCACTAGAAACACATGATGCGGCTCACTGAAAATTCTATAAAGTATATTTAAAAATAAAAAATAAAAATGACGGGTTTAGAAGTCTCTGTGGTCCTGTTGTGGTAAAGCAGCTTAGGCAAAGGGTAGATTTATCTTGCTTTTGTAGTGTTAATGAACTACATATCTAGGAATTAAAGGCTGTTGCTATCAGCTTATGTTTTAATTCCTAAGAAGATATAACAAATTAACGAATGAAGTTTACATATATATATATATATTTATATATATTCATGAAGAATCCTGGACTTCGGGAGAAGCTGAAGATCAGTTGTAAAAAATGACACTAATGGACACTAATGACACTAGTTGAGCTAAAAAGTATGAAACTGATAGATGACCCCATGATCTTTCTGTCATGTGATAATGATGGACGTGTAACTGGAAAACTTTTACTTTGTCTAGGCTGTCCCAAGAAGAGTATAAAAAGAGCAGCTAGAAGCAGAGCAGACAGTGAGAGACAGAGCAGATTTGGGATAGAAGAGGTCGTCCTCCGTCCTCGGACGACAGGTCAGTTTTTGGGGAGAGAAGGAGAGAGGCGTACCTAGAGTTAGAGAGTGACAGGTTAGTGTTGACGCAAGTCAACCATTTATTCTCAGGAAGATTTTAGCATTAGCATCCTCCACAGGGGATAGGTTAGTTTTATATTTACTTATTTTTTGTATTTTGCAAAAAGAGTATGTAAAGGGACGACAGAACGAGAGTGTGTTAACCTGAAGCTGAAGAAGACTTAGAGTTGGCGCAAGTCAACTGATTATTCTTAGTTAATTATTAGGATTAGCATTTCTCCTTGGGGGAAGTGATCAGTCTTATATGTACCTATTTTTTGTATTTTTTAATCTTGTAATAAACTTTTTGAAAAATAATTCACATTCCTGATTCTTAAAGGTCCTTTTTAAAGGTTAAGGTTGGGGCCCCGATCCCGAAACAATAGGAGAGGTAAGCATATTGTAATTACAGGTTCCTGAATTTTCAGGACTTGCTTTACAGTTTGTGACAGATTAATAAAAAGAAACCTTAAGTGAAGAAGCTAGTCTTCTCCTCTCCCGTGAGTAACGAGATATCCTAAGGATTGATAAGCCAAAACATTAGTAGGTTAAAATAGGCTCTGTTTGCAAGTGTGAAAAAGTCATTGCCAGCGTGGGAAGGTTGGATTAATTAGATTAATTGATAAATCTATGTTAGCCTGATCAACTGACAAGAATCATTTTCTAGTTACCACCGCCCACAAAGCTGACAGAGGCGCAAATTAATCCTAATATGACCCAAAGAATCGTCAGCATGACCGGCCCTCAGCTGAACTTTCACCTTAGTATTTAAACCGATTAAATAACAGGAGAAATCAAAAGGAAAGTGTGCTATCACAAAAGAAAAAGTACAGCATATCATTCTCACCTTAAAAAAGGAAACTGATTCTAATTGGGGGTCCAAACCAGGGTCTAATACAATAGAACTCACCGACGCCCCACGAACCCTGAGAAAGCAGCGCAGTCTTATTAAGTTCTAACAGAATCAGGTTCTAAAGGAACCGACAAATTGGACACGCTCGCGACAGGAGCAATTCCTGCCAGCGTGACAGAAATTGCTTTGTTTGGTTAAAGAGGGTTGGGCGGCCGTCCCAACTTTCTCTAGAACTCACTCGCAACTGACGAGAGTTCTGTTTGAAAAGATGGCTATTGTCATTTCTAACGAATCAGGTTTTGACATGTAGAAGGAAGATTTAACAAACCCTCAGAAATACGCCTCCCTGAAGATAGAACGTTCTGGTTAGGTGTGAATGAAACAAATTTCAACAAATTTTTTGCAACATGTGTTCATGTGAGCGCAGTTACCTTTAACTTAGTTACTGTGACCTGTGTGAGCTGACTAAGTGCACATGATTCTTGTCATAGTTAAACATTACTGATTATCATAAATAAGTATTAACCAAAGAATAATAATTCATTTCAGTAATTAAACACAGTTATAATGAACCTTGATGATTAGCAGTAAAGAGAGTTTATTTAAATGATTCTTTTAACCCTTTAGGCACCATAGTTTTTTCAGTAAAATATGAGTTTTTTATATCACTTTTTAAAGAGCTTGTAGCTTAAATCTGGTTAGAGACAGAGGAATGTTGTAAATTAGAAAAATCTTCAGTATGAGCCAAATTTTGTGATAGGAACAAATTCACTCACTTAATTTGCATATTGTGACGTCATCAGGTGGCAGCCATATTGGATTGCATCGCTTTTGCAGATTTAATTTTTTTTAGTTTTTGTCTTATTTTCTTAGTGTTGTTATTCTTTATGATACATACATACATATTCCTATGTAGACATATATAACTATGTATGTATGTATATATATATATATATATATATATATATATATAATATTTATTACTTTATTGGTATTTTGTTATGTTCACTGCGTATCAATCAAGGACACTGATTTTGGTGCTTTAGTGTCATGAACACATTTTCACTCATCCCTTCTTTGGTTTATTTTGTTTATTATATATATATATATATATATATATATATATATATATATATATATATATATATATATATATATATATATATATAACAATAAAGCCATGGTTACTGCAACTGGGTCCTCTGAAGTCAGTGGGTGGGGCTAAAGTTAAATTTAATGCCTATTAAACTGTTTTACAGGGAACAGAAAATACATCAAACATTTATTTTTTTGTACTAACGATTCATTACACCTTTGATGCATGAATTATGAAATCTTCTACCATGATTTTTTTAAAAAAATTTAAATTCATCTTTAGGTGTGAATGAAACAAATTTCAACAAATTTTTTGCAACATTTAATAATTTGCAAATAATTTATTACATGTCCACCTCAGTGGACAGCATGCATTCTGAACATGACATATGTTGGCTTGATTTACTGAAGTCCTAATGGAGGGGCTCAAATGCAATAAAGTCTTCAACAGCTGTGCTTAATAGCAAATAAATAAATAAATAAATGACAAATTTGAGTACCTGTCCACTATAGTGACCATTATGCATCAAAGGGTTAAGATAATTAACTTGGTTTAAAAATCACAATGCAAAAATCATAGTAGTTTCAGGAGGAGAAACCTAAAAGAAAACTTAAAATACTCAGATTTTCTGAGGCTTAAGAAGCAGAGTCAGAATAGTGTTTTATTGCCCACTTTACTGGGGTTTGCAGTAATTCCTGTTAGCGCCACCAGAGGGCGCGTCTTTAACTCCAGCACAAGCGCGTTTCCTTCCTCAGACCGGGACGATGGAGGACAACTACCAGCACCCAGTTTTCTTTCAGTGTCCCAGCTTCATCCCAGAACAGAAGAAGAGAATAATAGAACGTTATTTCCGAGTTCGGCGCAGATCAGGCGGAGGAGACTGCGGACCTTTAACAACAGCGGCTGTAAACGTCTACAGGATCGCGTTCAGTCATCATAAAGGTACAGTCGGGTTAATAGGAGTTTCTGGACTTGTAAATGCTCCGAGGAAATAAGCAGACGTGTTACGGAGCCTAGACGTGTGATGGTGCTTTAATAAAAAATAATATAAAATGTGCACAAAAAAATCTGTTCATAAACAATGGCTTTAAATTATTATGTATTTTGATGAATTATTATTAAAGTAATTTAAAGTTATTATTCTGCCTGACTTGCAGCCTCTCTTAGAAATGACCCAGTGAATGGAAAATGTTGAAAGTTGGAAGTCAGGAAACCGAAACTTAACTAGACGCTGTTGTGCAGAAATGTGTTTCCCCGTTAAAGCGGTCCCCACCGGTCCATGTATGCTAACGTGAATAAATGTAGACGCAGAAGAGTTCTAATGTAGGGATGTACACTTAAGGAGATAGGAGTGAGTTGTTGTCTCTGGACGTTTTTATACTTCAACGAGAACACGGAGCGAAGTAAAACAGGAAACGTTTTTCTCGGGGGAAACACATCTGGACACAACACGTAGCCCTTGAGGCGGGGATAAAATAGAAGGCAACAGAACGGAAGTAAACATCAGCTGTTGGCTATAAAATAAAGGCTACAAGTCAAAGGTCTGAAACACAAATAAAGATGGGATTATAAACACCTGCCATCAGCTTTATGGCAACAAATAGGTGCAATAATTATAATGGTTTAGTTTCTGAGTCTATGAGATGTAAAAGTATATGTAGAAAGAACACTCACACACATTCTTGTATTTGTACCCATGTTAGGACCTAACCCTAACCAGTGTATTCCTAAAGTTATCTGTAATAAAAACTCAATTCACATCTTATCTGTAAACCTCACCCCTAGGGAGTACTGCGTATCAGGGCCGGGTTGGGACTCACTGGACTCGTTTTGTTTTTAGATCAACAGGAAGTCCTGAAGAGGTCTGAGCATGTTGTTGACTGCTCTGATAGTCGTCTGGTGCTGAGAGTGACAGACCGTCCACCACCTGCTGCTGCTTCTCCTAACACTAACGCCACTGCTCCACCAGAGGTCAGCGTAACACAAACTGTTCTTGTGGTTTAACAAAACGCATCAAATTAGAATCACAAGTTTTTGAGTGTAGAGTCCTGAGAAAACGTATGGAGCTACCCCAGCTGACATCAGCTGACCAATCAAGCTTTACATCAGAACAAATGTGCGTCCATGAAGGTGAAATAAGAAATAGAAATACAAGGAATAAAAGTATAAAATGTGTAAAACAATCAAATAAAATCAAAGATACTTTATTAATCCCAGAGGGAAATAAGAGTTTCAGTACACACAATTCAGAGATCAGACATACATGGGCAAGACACATGACAAGAATTGGTGACTGTGGTCATTCGCAACTAGGGTTGTCACGGTAACCAGTGTAGCGGTAAACCCTGGTAAAAAAAAGTTGACAATAATAATAACCGTCTTGTTTAAAAAAAAAATTATCTCGGTGGGTTACCGTGGCTGCGGTGTAGGCGCGGTGACCCTTACCAGCCACCGTATCATCTGCTGAAGTTGCCGGCGGCACATGCACACTTTGTTGTTTACGACCAAAACTTTCTTGAAGCTAAAGCTGAAATAATGGCCAAAGGAGGAGACGGCAGTGCTCAGGAGGACATTTATTATCCCTCAAAGAAGACAAAGTGGGAAGTACGGGCATCTTTTGGATATGTGAAGAATGCCGAGGGACAGTTGATAGAAGACGGCTATCCTGTTTTCAGCACGTGCAGAAAAAGTGTCTGTGAAAGGCAGCAACGCTTCAAATCTCATGACACATCTGCGTGACCATCACCCACAACTCTACAGTCAACGCAAGGCAAGCTAACGTTAGCGCTTTAGCTAAAATGCGTGATCCGAGGATTTGGGTTGAGGGAGAACGCAACGAGTCGCTATATAAAGCAGACGCAGCGCCGCTACCTGCATATAAACCGTGTCGCGGACACCCCCATGTTGAAATGACGCTATGCATTACGGGACTCCCAGGGGCAGATAAGAGTTGGTCTCTCTCCGAGAATAATTATGAATTTAACAACGATTACTGCCTGATGACATTTTCCCACATCTGCAAAGCTCACTGGAAGGACACAAACCGAGGACGATATTTTCCTGATATAGGGTTTATTACTCAAGTAAGGGTAAAAAAGTATCTGATTAGAAGGCTACTTGAGTACTGAGTATCATCTGATCTAATATTTTTAAATGATGACATCAAACAGACAAAAAATAAGAAGTTATGGGCAAATATTGGTGTTTTAAAGACTAAAGGGGAAAAATGTAAACAAATAAACAACATAATTACAAAATAACACATTTTAGGCAAAAGACACAAACCTAGGACAATATTTCCTGACATACAGGGTTTATTTAATTGTCTGAAAATGTAGCACGTTTAAAAAAATACCACTATAATACCGAAAACCGTGGTAATTTTGGTCATAATAACCGTGAGGTTACATTTTCACACCGTGACAACCCTATTCGCAACCCTGAGTCGCGCTATCTTAATAGAGATAAGAGGGTAATATGAGGAATTGATTCGGGAGGAGGGAAAAAAGGCACTTCAGAGTTACCCTCCACCAGGAGGGCAGCTTTGCTCTGCAAAGAAACACCTCAACAAATGACGTCTGGCAGTCTCCTGTCAGAAGGAGTGTCAATTCCCACCTCCGACTGAACTTCCAAAATGTTCCAGGGGAGGCGGGGGACATTGAGTCTGAATGGACCCTGTTCCATGCCTTCATTGTTGAGGTGGCCGACCGGAGCTGTGGTCGCAGGATCGTCGGTGCCTGTCATGGTGGCAACCTCCGAACCCGCTGGTGGACACCGGTGGTAAGGGATGCTGTCAAGCTGAAGAAAGAGTCCTATCAGATCTTTTTGGCCTGTGGGACTCCAGAGGCAGCTGACGGGTACCGACAGTCCAAGCCGAATGCGGCTCGGGTGGTCGCCAAGGCAAAAACCCAGGCATGGGAGGAGTTTGGTGAGACCATGGAGCAAGACTTCCATACGGCTTCGAGGAGATTCTGGTCCACCATCCGGCACCTCGGGGGTGGGGGGTCAGTGTGCTACCAACACTATCTATAGTGGGGGCGGTGTGCTGCTGACCTCTACTCAGGACGTTGTGGATCGGTGGGCAGAATACTTCAAAGACCTCCTCAATCCCACCGACACGTCTTCCAGTGAGGAAGCAGAGTCTGGGGACGTTGGGTTGGCCTCTCAAATCTCTGGTGCTGAGGTCACTGAGGTGGTTAAAAAGCTCCTCTGTGGCAAGGCTCCAGGGGTGGATGAGATCCGCCCATAGTTCCTTAAGGCTCTGGATGTTGTGGGGCTGTGTTGGCTGACGCGGCTCTGCAATATTGCGTGGACATTGGGGGCAGCCCCACTGGATTGGCAGACCAGGGTGGCGGTTCCCTTATTTAAAAAGGGGGACTGCAGGGTGTGTTCCAACTACATGGTGATCACACTACTGAGCCTTCCTGGTAAGGTCTATTCAGGGGTACTGGAGAGGAGGGTCCGTCGGATATTTGAACCTCAGATTTAGATTAATTATCTTTATTAATAACTGAAATATGGCCTCTGTTCTACGATGAACTAGACAGCTAATCAAAACTTCATCAAATGTTTTAAAGTTTTCCAATTGAAACAAATGGGCGTTAATTAGGATTGTTAAAAGTTTAATATCTCTGGATTGGTGTCATTTTGTTAGTGAGCTCAGGCTCTATCTCGTAGACATATTAAACATGACATTTGGTCACTTTTTAAAATGTCCAAGTCCCTAGCATATGCAATCCAGTCTAATTAATCAGTTCAACAGACCATGGTACAGGTTAAAAAGGATGACTTTGGGTTAAGAGTTCTACGCTGACAAGCGTAGCTAATCAGGTACTTTGTTGGTACGTTGTCCCTAAAATCACAGTCCGTTCCAGTGGTTTAGTAGCATTTATAAAGAAAATAGCAAAGATTTTGCAGAAGGGTTTTTGCTCTCCCTGGGTTGACTTTGGTCAAATCAAGACATTTCTAGGGTTGTCACGGTATGAAAATGTAACCTCACGGTTATTGTGACCAAAATTATCACGGTTTTCGGTATTATCGCGGTATTTTTTAAACGGTGTTGCATATGTTCAGAAAGCATTGATAGTCCTGTTCTACACAAACTGAAATAGTTCTGAAAAGGTTTAATATTGTTTATTAAACCTAAAATAACACAAAGCCTTAGCAAAAGTGCAACTTTTCACAAGTAAAGGAACAAATAGCTTCTTTTTCTGGAACATGTTACAGTAGTCAGTGCAGGTTTAAATGATACAAATCCAAACATTCGAAACATAAACAATATGTAAACAAATCAAAGAAACACCACTTGTTTTCTCATATACTTGTTTTCTTCATTATCAAAATGAAAATCTAAAACTCCAGTCCACACTTGACTTGAGCGCTGTACAAGTCAACCTTAAAAAATATGTATTTAAAAAAAATAGCCACTTTAAACAAATTACTAAAATAACTACTACACTATGTAATCAAATCCAAACGTTCAAGTATAAATGGCATTGAATAAGTAAACAAATCCATGACAAGGAACTAATTGTATATTTCTCTTCATCATAAACAAATAAGATGCTTCATCCAGCAACAGGGTGTCCGTGACACGGTTTAAATGCTGGCAGAGGACGCTGCGGCTGCAGTATATGGTGACTCGTTGCATTCTCCCTCAGCCAAAAGTCCTCGCGTCATGCATTTAAGCTAAAATGCTAATGTTAACTTACCTTGCACTGGCTGTAGAGACGTGGGTGATCGTCACGCAGATGTGCCATTAGATTCGAAGTGTTGCTGCCTTCTGCAGACACTTGTTTCCTGCACGTTCTGCAAACGGGATAGCCGTCTTCTATTAACTGTCCCTCAGCATTTTTCAGAAATCCAAAATATGCCCATACTTCTGATTTAGTCTTCTTTGAGGCCTGATGGATGTCCTGGGTGCTGCCGTCTCCTCCTTCGGCCATTATTTCAGCTTCAAAGTTGTGGTTGCAAACAAAAAAGTGCGCACCGCGGCAACTTCAGCAGAAGCGACGGTGGCTAGTAAGGGTCACCGCGCCTAAACCGCGGCCACGGTGAACCCACCGAGATAATTTAGTTTTTTAAAAACTGGACGGTTATTTTTATTGTCAACTTTTTTACCGGGGTTTACCGCTACACCGGTTACCGTGACAACCCTAGACATTTCCAGTTTCAAATACAAAAGCGGAACTAAAGAGCTGTTAAAATGTTAAAAGAACCGTTTGGAAATACCTTCAGAAACGCATCACAGCTGATATCAGAAGCTCCGTGGAGGGAAAACACAAAGAAGAAATGAAGGCTTGTTTCTCCAATGAGAAAGAACAACAAAGAGCTTTTAACAGATTTGTAATGAAAATTAGGGATGCAACGATACCACTTTTTTCTAAACCGATACAATACTGATACTTGGATCTGAGTACTCGCCGATACCGATTACCAATACCGATAATTCAACCACACCAAAAAATGCAATGAATTGGAATACAGGTTTTATTTTCTTCTCTGCTTTCAACAGGAAAAGACTGAGGTAGATAAAAAGTAAAACATGTTAATATTAATGATCACAAAACTAAAATATTAGGTGAACAGAAATGACAAGTTACAGTGAAGTCACATTCAAGCAACTGCATTGGTATCGGTTACTGGTATCTGTCAACTTTTACCGATACTGGTATCGATATCGGTATCGGCACAGATACCGATATCGTTATCCCTAATGAAAATGCGACGAAAATCATATTTTGTAAACTGTGGATGGTTTTTTCCCCAACGCAGACCATTCATAGCTCAGCAGCTACATCTTGTGGAGAAGAGCTACGCCCTGATATCGACTCACGTTCTTCCTGGAAGGAACATCCTGGTGCAGGACATCTAGAGAAAGAGCTCGCCTCCTCCTGCTCTGCTCAGCTCCACCCAGAGGAGGAGGCTTTAGTCGGGAGGGTAGCTCAGCTAGACAACGCTCTGAGCTGCTGTGAGAGAAATCCACACACCGATGTAGAGCAACAGGTCAGAGATTATGACACCACATCAGGTCTGACCACCGGGGAACGTTCTCAGATGGAAACAGGGATGATGGACGTAGGAGATGAACCGTGTTTCAGTGAGAACCAGTTCTGCTCTAAAACTAGTAGAGACACACCAGTGGGTGGAGATCAAGTCAGACTGCAGGTCCAGGTGGATTCTACTGACCCAGGAGCTTCTGCCGACGTTCCTAAGAGCATCAGTGTTGAGATTGTTCAAGGGACCATCGAGACCCAACAGGTGAGATCCTTTAAGCTGCAAGTTGTTACTAATTAGTAGGAATGATACATCAGTGGTGTTATTCCTGACTCGGGTGGGTTTGTCGTGGCAGGTAGATGCTTTGGTGTCTCCCATGGTCGGCCGTTGTCCTCTCTCTACTGCTGTTGGAAACCGTTTGAACAAGATGGTTAATTATCAGCTGGCTGTGAGGTTTAAACAGGAGTCCGGATATTTATCAGAGCTGGGCGAGTCTGTTCTACTGCACGGATTACCTGGACTTCCATCTAAAGCCGTGTTTTTCCTCAACCTTGCTCCATGGGATGACGATGAACACGGAGCTCCTGTCCAGGTGAAACAAGGAAGCTAAACCTGTTTTACCTTCATTATTTCACCTGGAACACTTGTTGTACCTGTCCTTTGTCCTCTGCAGGTTCTCAGAATGGGCATCAACAACATCCTGACTTCCTGTGACGACAGAGGGTTTGAATCTGTGGCGTTTCCTGTCCTCGGAGCCGGGATCGCCCTGCGTTTTCCTGACAGCGTGGTTGCAAAGGTGTTGCTGGAGGAGATTCGTGCATTTGAACAGAACCGAACCAGCAGCTCATCACTGGTGGTTCGGATCGTCATATATCCTGGTGAAGACGAGACTTCAGAGGTGACAAACTTACTGTGACATAAACATTGATTATAATAATAAGAGTTTTAATCTTGGCACACAGGATCACAGGAAGTGGTAGAAATCTATTTAAAGCTTGCAGCTGCAAGGCTAAATGATTTCTGGCTAGCAGCATATCTCCTAAACAACTGGGCTGTGTTGAATTAAAAAGTAATGCCTAGATTTACCTCGAAAGAATTCACTTTTGGAATCAATTCAGTTTCATGTGGCCGCTACATCCCACCGTAGCCACTCCTACCCTATACATCATGGCTCTTTGCCAGTAAGCTACAACTCTGTGGTTGTGGTTCAGAGTCAGTGTTTCCTGTGCAATAATCTCAACGTGTCTGCTCTGAACTAATATTAACGATAAACCTTCAACGTTCTGTTTCAGACCTTCAGGTCCGCCCTCAACGATTTCAAATACAAAGGATTCTGTAAGAAGTGTCAAGACCCAAACCAAGGTGGGTGGAGATCAAGGGGCCATTTTGGTCCACATTCTTTGAAGCCATGAAGAAGCGGCTAAAATTGCATTTCCACTCTCATCCACTAGGGGCTGGTACGAGAAATGAGCAAATCCTGACTTCCATGTTATAAATGCAAACGTCACAGCAGAAATAAACATGTTTGCAGACTGGTTCAAAAAGCCAATCTAGGTTTAATAGATCTAGTTTACACTCATGACAACTCAGAGGGGTGGATTCTTTGTAACTCTTCTGTTTAATAATTTTATTAAATGCTTAAAATTCTGAATAATTAATGAGCATCAGAGCCACGTGACTTCAGAGTAGGGCTGGGCGATATATCGATGTTTTTAAAATATCGGTATAATTTTTAAACAAGATATAAAATGACTTTATATCGATATAACTGGACAAACTCTTATGCTAGCAATTAGCCGCTATGCTAGCGACATGTTGCTCCGTCTCCAAGCAGCTATTACATGTATTCTCACAAGTTTGCTCAATCTGAGAGCATCTGGGTAAATGTGCTGCTCTTAACTTTACATTTCCTGGTTTTTAATTATTTGGGAACGTTCAACACCAACAAAGTTCTGTTTTCCATCCTGCTTGAGCGGAGAGACGAGCCAAACCACTCCCTACCCTGTGTAATGGGTAACATCTACGGATAGCCAGATTGGCCAAATTACCTCAAACGTATTGTAAGGGTTTGAATAATAAACTATAGGGTCAACGTTTTATTTTGAAGGCGAGCTCAACGGGTGAGAATTGTTGTTCTGGTTCCGTTTTTTCTGCTCTGGTTAGCTGTGCTAGTAAATAATAATAATAATAATAATAATAATTACGTTACGAGCGATTCTGTTGATAAAGTTAAGAGTTTGTGAGGCGTGGGTTACGGCAACAGTAGCCCGAAAATAATACTCATAAAAGAGCAACCAGAGGCTCTTGAGTCATTACAGTGTCATCGCTGATATGAGCCAACACTGTTAGACTCCAGCCATGTTTGCCCTGACAACTAATAACTCCACGGTGCATGACCCATGTGATCTTCAGTAGATGCAATTACATCATCATACATTTAGTTTAGCATGATAGATTATTTTCTCTGGACAAGACGTGTACAATATGGGCCACCTCTAGATGAAATAAAAATAATTTTACATTAATTATAAATATATAATTTAAGTGCCTGTGGGACATTTGATACACCTCTAGCGCTCAACTGTGTGTGTGTGTGTGTGTGTGTGTGTGTGTGTGTGTGTGTGTGTGTGTGTGACAGCAGACAGCTGTACCAGAGAGAAGGCACTAAAGTTAAAGTTTGACAAGAATCAATACATTTTTATGCATTTAATCTACTGATTTATGTGTATAATTTCTCAAGACAGCTTGAAGTGACTTAACTTGTTAACGATTTACAGGAGGAAAAATATCGAGATATATATCGTATATCGGAATTCAGCAAAAAGATATCGAGATATAAGTTTTGGTCCATATCGTCCAGCCCTACTTCCAAGCTAGCTCCGGGGAATGGCCTCATCCTCACATTAATAGATGTTCGGCCATGACTACAGCCTTGCACGGGAGCCACTCGGCCATGCAGGTGGACCATCCCAATCCCTGGAGCACTTCTTAGCTTCTTGGGTTAGCTAAGTTAGCTAATAGCTACATTGGTTCATTTGTTTTAACCCTGATCCAAACGTAACAGCCCCCCCCTTAGCTCCACCCCCCCCCCGAACAATAGGTGGGCTACGTCCGTATTTTTGTATGTCGATGGTGAATATAGTGACTGGACAGAGATCATTGTTATGTTATTGGTGATTAAATGTGATGATGCGTTTCATTATCTGCCCCTAATTACCAACCAAACTTTTTAATAACACTTGCGTACAATTCTCAAGAAACAACGAAACTAAACCAATACAAATTCATCTCACTATGTTCTTCTAATTTACAAACCTAATCACACAATATCTTCATTTAGATCTTTAGAGTTCTGTAAAACACTTGATTTAATACATTTTAAAAATATATTTAGTGACTGTTTATTTTACGTCCTTGCTAAGGTTGTTCCATATTCTCACGTCATCGCCTTCATACTGGTTCTAAATCTAGATTTTTTTAAGTACTTTAGTTCTTTTTAACAAATCATTACCGACTCTTTTTTTTTGCATCATTGTCTGAATCTTGGTGGGTAACGTATTTGTGTTAGCTTTACACATTTTCACATTAACTAGATCATAAAATTTCACTAATTTATATTGAATGAATAACAGATTGGATGGATCTCTATTTTTCAGAGTGTACCCCAAAGAGGATCGTCCTGCTGGGAAAAACTGGCTCTGGGAAAAGTCACCTGGCCAGCACCATATTAGGACCAGATGTCTTCACGTCCTTTCATTGCGCCAAATCTGGAACCCAGAAAGTCCAAGCAGAGACCACGTGTGTGAACGGAAGAAGCGTGACTTTGATCGACACCCCTGGTTTCTTTGACACAGAAAGGCCTGAGGAGCAGCTGAAGCCTGAGATAGTGAGGTGTACCACAGAGTGCGCTCCTGGGCCCCACGTTTTTCTCATTGTGCTGAAAGTGGACAGATTCACACATCAGGAGCAGGATGTCATCACTAAAATACGTGAATATTTCTCAGACGATGCTTTAAATTACTCTGTCGTTGTCTTTACTCACGGTGACGACCTCCAGGAGGGAATGACCATTGACGAGTTTGTCAGTCAGAATAAGAATCTGAGTGATCTGGTGAAGAGGTGTGGTGGTCGGTGCCATGTCTTTGATAATAAGCACTGGGACAACAATCAGCATAACGATTACAGGAACAACCAGAACCAGTTGGAGGCGTTACTTCAGACGGTAGACACAATGGTGATGGAAAACAATGGATCCTTCTACACCAACGACTTTTTACAGTATGTAGAGGACAGAATTGTTAAGTATGAGGAGAACATAAGAGATGATAGAGTTAACTCAACTCCAGCAGAGATCAGAGCACATGCTAAATCTTTGGTGTTCAATGAAGTTTTGATCCAGCTGGCAGGGACTGCCACAGGAGCTTTGTTGGGGGCTTTGTTTGGTGTGCTGGCGTTGGCAGAAGCTGCTATGAAACATGTGAAGAACCCATCTGAAATGATTAAACGTGTAAAATCCAGCATCTCAACTCTTGGTCCCGTAGCGCCGGCAGCAGGTGAAGTTGCACTGGCCACTGGAGCGATAGCAGGTGTAACTATAGCAACAGCAGCTACAGTAGGAGCGGTAGTGGGAGGAAAGGCTGGATGTGAAGCAGCTAAAGGAGCAACAACACCCATGGAGGCAGCATGCAGGGCTTATGAGGCGGTCGTGGAGAAGAAAACTAATTTTAAGATTCTTTAATAGTTTCTTTTTACAAGTGATGCTGCATCACTCCTGCACCTATGCATGCATCCACCCATGTATCTAGAGCCGGATCAGTAGGCAGTTAATGGGTGAGCAGAAAGTATCTGCAGTTGCACTCAGAACCTTAAAGGATTGTTTCTGCTCTGGTAGTCTGGATTTCCGCAGAACATTTTATTAAAAAAAATATTTAATTAGATTGTTTCAGCAACACATTTGTTTCATTAGTGCAATATTTCAGAGTGTGTGATTGTCTTATTTATATTCTGTGTGTGTGTGATGCTGATCTCAGGGTTGAATCATTACAGTCATTCAACCACATCCACTGACTCGGGGTTAGCTTGATCATTTCCCCGTTAGACAGAAAAATCTGCTATCATGGTGCTACAATGTAAGGCACCACTACTACAAACACACTCATATGAGCTTTCTCCACTGGGAATAGTTTATTTGTTAGTATTTCATGATTTATTCTCTGTTCATTTGCAGAGATGAACTATTTTAGCTTGTTATGACACTTTCGGGATGATTACTGGACTTCACCGCCATTTGGTGTCTTTACAAATAAGCTCTGTTATCACTGTGTGCTCTAAATCTGTATGTTTATTCTTTTACTTGCTCTTAAATCAGCACAGCTATGAAAAGAATCAACATAATAATTCATGGATTGATCTTTTTGTTTTTTACACTACTTTATAACTTTATAAACTCTTTTGGGAAGCATTTAAACCACTTTAGGGATTTGTTCTCATCTGGTCCGAGGCTGAAATAAAAGTTTTGTTGCTAATTTGCAGCAGTTCTTGTGCTTTTTTTAGGGAAATTCAGATTATTAAGTGTAATTCTTGACTAAACTCTAAAAGTATGACTGACATGTATGATAAGACTCTTATTTAGCATGTGCACACAGACTTGGTGTAACTACAGAGGGATTAGTTTACCCCGTTATTGTTGAACCAATAACGGGGTAAACATATCTGATTGTTAACAACTACCTCTGCATTGAAATTGCACACACCTGCTGCTATATGTTTTGTATATTATTAGCGATATTTACCTGTTTAATATTATCTTATTGTTAGGGATGTTTTTTGTTTTGTTATTGTTGTGCATCTGCACTTTATGTAAATGTCTACGCATGGGACAGTGTGAAACGTAATTTCAATTCCTAGTATGGCAAGCACATTCGAAGAATTGACAAATATAGTATTCTATTCTATTCTATTCTATTCTATTCAATTCTATTCTATTATTGTGCAGAACTTAGTCACGACTGAAGTAAATAAGGATCCATGGGAGTCCTGGGTGCAGTAGTCAGAAGAGGTGGGTCCTAGATTCTATTTAACATATTAATATTTGTTTTAGCTCATATTGCACGTGAATTAGCATTAATCACAACAGTGATCAGGGAAATCAACTACTTCATGGCATCACTCTGTCTGACCAGGTAAGAGATAGTGGAAGCTGTAGGGTGTCTCAGATGGCTGCTGGTGTCTGAGGAGGACAAGGCCTGCATGAAGACAGTTGTTGTTCTTGTGTAGAAAGTGTCCACCGACAGGACAGCTGTCTGTCCCTCTGCAGGTTCTGCAGCCCACTGGGAGGTTTGCAGTAATTCCTCTTAGCGCCACCAGAGGGCGCGTCTTTAACTCCAGCACAAGCGCGTTTCCTTCCTCAGACCGGGACGATGGAGGACAACTACCAGCACCCAGTTTTCTTTCAGTGTCCCAGCTTCATCTCAGAACAGAAGAAGAGAATAATAGAACGTTATTTCCGAGTTCGGCGCAGATCAGGCGGAGGAGACTGCGGACCTTTAACAACAGCGGCTGTAAACGTCTACAGGATCGCGTTCAGTCATCATCAAGGTAGTCGATCAGCTCCTGTCTTATATTTTTGTATCACTAGAAATAAAATAAAACTGGCCTTTTTAAATGTTATTTTTATAATAATAAAAATAACGATTGTTGATGTTAATATTGTGCAGTTTACCAACTGATTTGTCTCAGTAAGAATTATCTGGTCAGGAAGTTTCTTTGGAAATTGAAACTTCACCTTCGGTCCCATTTTCCTGGAACTGATAAAACAGAAACAGAAAAAAGATAAACAACAGCTGATGTTGATACACACACACACACACACACACACACACACACACACACACATATATATATATATATATATATATATATATATATATATATATATATATATACACACACATATAAATATATATATATATGTATATATATACATATATATGCATATATACATATATACATATGTATATATGCATATATATATATATATATATATATATATATATATATATGTATATATATATATTTAAATGTGTGTGTTTATGTGTGTAGATATATATTATATATATATATATATATACACACACACATATACATATATACATATATATATATATATATATATATATATATACATATATATATATATATATATATATATATATATATATATATATATATATATATATATATATATATGTATATATATATTTTTTTTTTTGTAATGTGTGTGTTTATGTATATATATATATATATATATATATATATATATATATATATATACACATACATATACATATACATAAATATACATACATTTTTGAAGTGTGTTAAATATTTTGAGACAGATTTGCAGTGAAACAAAACCACCACCACAGTGCCATTAATATAACGTCTTTAAACATGTTTCTAACTCTGTATTCACACTCATCTGTCTCAGTGGTTTTCACTAAACCACTAGACATCTTGTTTAAGTCCAGCTTTGGCTCCATAACTGGATCCGGGTCACTGGGAGAGGCAGATGAACAGATTCTTTTTATTGTGGCAGAAAGGTGTGGCACACAGTTTCAGTGGAGCAGGGTGGGGTTTGTGTGGTTCCAGGAAACACTTCAAATGTTGTTTCATGCAGTATTTAATAGTAGTATTTAATATAGTTGGGCCTAAATGAATGACATGGAATATTAAATCGTGTGTTTTTATAACCAGATTTTACCCTTTTAGGTTCAATAAAGAGTTACAATCAGTTGTTTATGTCAAATATCTGCAATTTCTCAATTTTATTAAAACAAAACTTTTACTATTTATTTTATTTATTTTTTATTGTTTAACAATAAAAGAAGTGGTGCGTGTCGGTGTGTGTGAAATACTGGAACTTCTAGAATATATAAAATATGACACATAACATGCACCATATATGCTGATACTATATTCTACTTTGGTCACAAGTCACGTTTGGTGCAGCGCTACATTTAGTCTTTTTGTATTTTTGATCAGGCTGAATCTGAAAAAGTGAAAAACAACAGTTTTGTTTTTGTATTTGATTCAGAAACAAATAACAACAAAAAAAGACAACATTAGAGAATTTTAAGCATCAGACTCCGAGTTCAGCCAGAGGGAAAACTAAGAGTTAAAAACTAACTTTTTTAGTCCAGCCAGATATTTTGATCATTTCTGATCATTTTATCGTATTTATTACGTGTTTAACATTCCTCGTCTGAGGCTCAGCGGGCTTGCAGAGGTTTCTCCAAACAGCTGAAGTGACTTCTTGTGTTTAGATCAACAGGAAGTTCTGAGGCGGTCCGAGCATGTTGTGGAAGTCCATGATGGTCACCTGCTGTTCAGAGTCACCAACCAACCGCCACCTTCTCACCACGATCACACCCAAACTCCAGTAAGCGTCGGCACATTTTCTCTGATTTAGTCAAAGCAGCAAATCCAGTTCCAGTCTGATTCTGTTAGTTGTCAGAAATCACGGATATACAGTTGTTGGTAGCCTGCCTCTTGACAAAACCTACACACAAACTAATTCCACACATAAACATTCCCCGATCAGACGGGAAACGTCCCAACATCACAGACTGGAGCGTGCAGCTCACTCCTGTCACCTCACTTCCTGATTAACCTGTGGCCGTCTCCAAGTTTAGGTCCTCCACCGCCTCTCTTACCCATGGTGTCCCACAAGGCTCTGTGCTGGGGCCTCTGCTCTTCCTCCTCTATCTGCTTCCTCTTCAGCACATCATGAGCTCCTTCAAAGGAATCTCCTACCATTTTTATGCAGATGACATCCAACTGTACATCTCCTTTAAGCCCCATGAGATGTCTAAGCTGCAGCTGTTACACACCTGCTTAGACTCTATCAAAACCTGGATGGTGGGAGCTTTCTTCAGCTGAATGAAGATAAGACTGAGATCCTCATCTGTGCCCCAGACAAGCTGGTTCCCAAAGTCAGAGACTCTCTTGGTCAGCTTGCTTCCCACACCAAACCTTCTGTCAGGAATCTTGGCGTGACCTTTGACCCAGCTCTCACCCTGGATTCTCATGTCAGTTCTCTTGTTCGCTCTTCCTTCTCAGGAACGTTGCTAAGCTGAGTCCCATTCTGTCCCGCTCTGAACTTGAGACAGTTCTCCACACCTTCATCTCCTCACGCTTAGACTACTGTAACTCTCTTTTCACGTGTCTGAGCAGAACCTCCCTGAACCGTCTACAGGTGGTTCAGAACACCTGTGCTCGGCTTCTGACCAAGTCCTCCAAACACACCCACATCACCCCGCTTCTCCTCCAGCTTCACTGGCTGCCAGTCAACTTCAGGGTTCATTTCAAGATCCTGGTTCTGGTCTACAGGGCCTTACATGGACAAGCACCATCTTACATTGGTGATCTTCTTAGTCCCTACACCCCCAGCAGGTCCCTGAGGTCCAGTGATCAAAGCCTACTGGTTGTGCAGCACCAGGCTAAAGGTCAAAGGTGACAGATCATCTGCTGCTGTGGCCCCCAGACTCTGGACCTCTCTCCCCCTGAGCCTGAGATCAGTGGACTCAGTGGTCTCCTTTAAAAAGCAGCTGAAGACTCACTTGTTCAAGCTGGCTTTTGTATGACCTTCTTCACCTCTCTCTCTTTATTCTGCTCTCCCCACCTATTCCACCTTCCTCAGGATCCACTGGTTTCCCTTCTTCTTCTTCTTCTTAACAGGTCAATCCAACACGTTTAGCATTCTGGGTGGACCGCAGCTCTTGTAACACACCACGCACGATGAAAATATCTTATGATAAAATCTTCAGAGCCATTACAGTCGGCCAGTCAAACATCTGCATGACTTTCCTACCAGTGAACCAAAAGTAAAGGACTTTAGGTACGTGAGGATCATTCTAGCTCGTTCGTGGTCAGAATGAAGCAGGGATGGAAGACTGGGCGTTTGGGCTGCAGCGAGCCTTCTCTGTGGAGAGACCAAGATCAGTCTCGGAGACGAGAGGAGGGGCTCCATTATCCAGCGGAAAGATGGTGTTATTCACCATAATAGCCACTACAACAGTCGCAGTTACTAGTAACTAGTGAAATGACGCTTTGCCTAAAACTAACCTATCCTAAACAAGATGATTTTTCTCAACACAGAACCCAGAATCAGTTCCAGACTCAGCTGACGAGCTCTCAACTTCCTACCTGAAGGAACATCCTGGTGCAGGACATCTAGAGAAAGAGCTCGCCTCCTCCTGCTCTGCTCAGCTCCAGCCAGAGGAGGAGGCTTTAGTCGGGAGGGTAGCTCAGCTAGACAACGCTCTGAGCTGCTGTGAGAGAAATCCACACACAGATGTAGAGCAACAGGTCAGAGATGATGACACCACATCAGGTCTGACCACCGGGGAACGTTCTCAGATGGAAACAGGGATGATGGATGTAGGAGATGAACCGTGTTTCAGTGAGAACCAGTTCTGCTCTAAAACTAGTAGAGACACACCAGTGGGTGGAGATCAAGTCAGACTGCAGGTCCAGGTGGATTCTACTGACCCAGGAGCTTCTGCCGACGTTCCTAAGAGCATCAGTGTTGAGATTGTTCAAGGGACCATCGAGACCCAACAGGTGAGATCCTTTAAGCTGCAAGTTGTTACTAATTAGTAGGAATGATACATCAGTGGTGTTATTCCTGACTCGGGTGGGTTTGTCGTGGCAGGTAGATGCTTTGGTGTCTCCCATGGTCGGCCGTTGTCCTCTCTCTACTGCTGTTGGAAACCGTTTGAACAAGATGGTTAATTATCAGCTGGCTGTGAGGTTTAAACAGGAGTCCGGATATTTATCAGAGCTGGGCGAGTCTGTTCTACTGCACGGATTACCTGGACTTCCATCTAAAGCCGTGTTTTTCCTCAACCTTGCTCCATGGGATGACGATGAACACGGAGCTCCTGTCCAGGTGAAACAAGGAAGCTAAACCTGTTTTACCTTCATTATTTCACCTGGAACACTTGTTGTACCTGTCCTTTGTCCTCTGCAGGTTCTCAGAATGGGCATCAACAACATCCTGACTTCCTGTGACGACAGAGGGTTTGAATCTGTGGCGTTTCCTGTCCTCGGAGCCGGGATCGCCCTGCGTTTTCCTGACAGCGTGGTTGCAAAGGTGTTGCTGGAGGAGATTCGTGCATTTGAACAGAACCGAACCAGCAGCTCATCACTGGTGGTTCGGATCGTCATATATCCTGGTGAAGACGAGACTTCAGAGGTGACAAAGAACATATCTTATTCCTTCACTACTAAGATCGTCTGCGCATAATCCAGTCACATGTTGGTGCTCCACTGCAGAGAACAATGATGGAAAAATAGCAAAAGAAGAATGGAGCGGTCAAAGTGACAAAATATTTCATAGGTGCAAGCACAAAACAGGACTAACGTTTTAACACCCGCATGTGGGACGAAGACACAAGCGGGTTGGTCCTGTTTTACGTTTAACCCCTGTAGAGTTCACACTTTTGCAGCGTGACGACTGCAAATCAATTATGACCAATAATTCAATTCAAGTTTATTTATATAGCGCCAAATCACGACAAGAGTCGTCTCAAGGCACTTCACATAATAAACATTCCAATTCAGGTCAGTTCATTAAGCCAATCAGAAATAATGTTTCCTATATAAGGAACCCAGCAAATTGCATCGAGTCACTGACTAGTGTCAGTGACTATACAGCAATCCTCATACTAAGCAAGCATGCAGCGACAGTGGAGAGGAAAACTCCCTTTTAACAGGAAGAAACCTCCAGAGAATCCTGGCTCAGTATAAGCAGCCATCCTAGTAAGTAATTAAGTAAGTAAGTAAGTAAAAGTTTATTTATATAGCGCCTTTCACAGATATAAATCACAAAGCGCTGTACAACATGATAAAGATCAGGGCAAATACCTCTAACCAATAAAAACAACAGAAAAACAATAGCAGTGATAAACGTAGAAAATAAAATCATGAGTATAAACAAAGTGAAGGTGTGAACCCGAACAAAGCCATCTTTTAGAACATTTAGGGAGGGAACGCCTGGATGAAAAGGTGAGTTTTTAGATGATTTTTAAAGACCTCTACAGTGTTAGAGAGACGGAGATTTGAAGGTAGACTGTTCCAAAGTCTGGGTGCAATAGTCTGAAAGGCCCTGTCCCCTTTGGTTTTCAGTCTGGTTCGAGGAACCAGAGGACTGAAGAAGATCCGGGGCTTAACACACACACACACACACACACACACACACACACACACACACACACACACACACACACACACACACACACACACGTTTCTATGGTTACATTGTGATTTCTTAGTAAATATTCTATCTGGTGAGAGATAAACTTTATTGTATTTATCCTAGTGGATCTATAATTAAACGGGTAAACTAGTAGTAGCACATCCAATATCAAGGAAAGCAAAAAGTTATTATCAGGAGAGGGAGAATGTATTAGTGGTTAGCAGCAGTGTGCTAGTCGATGGCCCCCTCCATGAGGCCACCACAGCTCAGCAGAACATCGTTGTAGCTTCTTCTGGGGAGAAAAACACTTAGAGAGAAAATAAAGTTAACAGCTGAAATAGCAGGAAATAATACAGTTAAAGAGCAGATGGTAGAAGAAAGCAGTCGAGTGTGGAAAGTGGTCAGTGTGTCCTCCAGCAGTCTAAGCCTATAGCAGCATAACTACAGAGATAACTCTGGATAACCTATCCTATTTAGATGGAGGCATGTTGGAGGCAGTAAGATGTGATGATTCCATAAAAATATGAAATATCAATCTGATTGATCTTTGAAGTTTAATCAGAAGATTACAGTTACTTTTACTTTTTCAGGGACCATAAACACACTTCGTATTAATTCAGACGGAGTCAGTATTTAGTTAAAAAGGAAATTTATTATTTTCTAAACTAATGAATACACATGACAAGATATGAATAATGAGGTGTGATGGAGTGGATATGCGGTGATGTGTAGGGGGTGTGATGTAAGCTAGGTGTTTATCAGAAACTTTGTATCTGAGAGAAATTGTGGAGTCTGGGTGTAAAATAATTTGTTGTCTGCTATAAACTAGAGAGTTGATTATTAATAAAACAGCATCAGACGCAATCTGTTGTGTCTACAAACCCTGGCGGAGACCTCAGCAGATCCGGACTGTCAGAAGTCGGGTGGACCTCCCGGTACCTGGAGCTCATAGATTAGCTCCGATACGACTCGTCCAGTCTTGAGATGTCTCCAGGTCATAACAGTAGCTGGAACGCTTGTCTGCATCCAAAGAGAGCCGTCTGGCTGTGTCAGCTTGCAGCGAGCAAACAGGTTTTTGACTGGAGGCCAAAAGAGATGCTCGTTCCCGAATTGGCCGGTTCGAGAGTCGGCTAGAAACTGAATCAGGAAGTAATTCTTGTTTTATGAAACCACCAGGTTATGAGTTTTGGTCAAGTTTTGGCAAATCAGAATTTGACACATTTGGAGTTTTACCAACATCCCTCAGAAAGCCACGCCTTCCTCAGACATAAAGCGCTGTGGATAAGAATGTTCAAAACTCTTATGTGAGGTGAATTAATATGCATCTTATTGTAATGTGTATGAGTGTAAACAATCATTAACGTGTTAAATCAAACACATAGTGATTTGTGATATAAATGGATCATTGTAAGAACATTTCAAATTCATTGGTTTAAGCACAGATTATTCAAACATTTGATTTAAACATCTTGTTCATTAACCACATATGATTATTTAACTTATTACTGTAAAATCCCGTTGAAGCTTCCAGTAGATAGTGAGGAATTCAGCAGTCTGGCTTTCACGCAGACCTTGGGACAGGTTATTTACGTCTGCGTTGAGGAACAATAAGTGTGCAGAGGTTGTTTTGTGCGTCTGGATCCTCCAGCTGGTGCAGCTCGACTTAGCAGTTCCTGGCGTGTATGAAAGGTTGTGCTGTGTCAATTAGATGGTGGAAAATTGACCCCTTTGATACGTGACACCCTTATATGTCCTAAGCAGGGGCGGATTTAGGACTGAAGAAGATCCGGGGCTTAACACACACACACACACACGTGCGCGCACACACACACGTGACACGCACTAGTCAACATCATATATATTTGTCTTGTACCACATAATTTTTAATCTGAAGCTACATATTAAGCATATTCAGGGCAGAGTATTGTTCCTGTTAGTGTTTAGTGTGAGATGATAGTAAATATTCCCGTTCTTTCTCCAACAACTTTACCTGATAGTAAGCTAACTTTAGGCAAACCAGCAGCACAACAAATATTTTCAAATAAGACTCACAAACCTGAGTCAGCACCAGTCTCATCAAAGCTGGGGTTCTGTCGCCGTACTTTTGGTCTAAAAAACGTCCTTATGTCCATCTTCACTCATGCGTTTCAGGCAGAGACTGTAGAAGCAGCCGGCTGCTGAAGGGCTTCTTCTTCAGTGGTGGAGGCTCAGGCAGGCTGTATACAAACTACTGCCAGCTGCTCCCTCTCTGTTGGACTTTGGTACTGCATGTTACTTCCACGATTTAGATCCGGGGCTTTTCATGAAACATCCGGAGCTTCAGCCCAAGTAGCCGGGCCTAACGCCGCCCCTGGTCCTAAGTGCATTTTTTGTGCTCAAACACCAGAAACATTAGAAAATTAAAAGGTAATATAAGGGTTAATGTACAGGAAGGGGTAGAAAGTAATTCTAATATTTTTTATGCTAACAGGAATGTAAGGGCACCAAAGACCAACTTTCCAAGAATTATACATGTTCATACTCCTTTACAGTATAGCAACCACCAACTCATCGCTATGGAAACCAGTTTGTGGAGCAGTCTGCCGTGCACCGTTGATAACGAAGAAGAAACGAGTTCAGGCCGGTGGTAGTCCTGCTAAGGCTACAACGCAGCATGACTAGACTGACCTGCAGAAGAATGGCTGGTCCTGAGTGCAATAGGCTAACCTGCGATGCTAATCACAGGACAGACTGTACAGTAACATGTCTCTGTGGTGACTAGGGATGGGTACCTTTGACATTTGAATCGATCCGGTACTAATTCCCGGTACCTACGAATCGATACCGGTACTTAACGGTACCAATTTTCGATACTTTTGAGTGTTTATTATTTTAATTCTCTTTTATAATTAAATATATCTTTTTCCCAATTTATAACCATATTTGATAAATATCACAATAAATAACATGCAACTGTTTGTATTTTAACATGGTCCTTGTAGTTTTATAAGCTGATAATTAAACTGAAGCAAACATCTTTACTGTGAACTAAATTTACTGTGTATCTTCATTCCTTTTGCCGTCCTTTTTCATTTGATTTTTCCTACTGGGATGTTAGAATTTCCGAGGAGAAAGCGAACGCACCATTAGCTGATAACAATGATGGCAATGGAAGCTAACATATCAAGCTAACGTTATCTTAAACAGTTTATTTAGCTGCTGGAGCAGATTAAAACGATGATGCCTCACACTTAGATCGTTGTTGCTGGTTTCATCTTCACCCAATCACCCGTCGCATTTAGTAAAGTGAAGCCAGACTTTAGAGCGCGTTCATGTTCTTCTAGTCGGGAATTCGGCGTTCCGAGGAGAAAGCGAACGCACCATTAGCGAAACGGAAGCTAACATATCAAGCTAACGTTATCTTAAACATTTTATTTACCTACCGGAGCAGATTAAGATGAGGATGTCTCACTTAGATCGTTGTCGCTGGTTTCATCACCCAGTTACCCATCACATTTAGTGAAGTGGACCCAAGCGTTAGCGTGCGTTCTTTCTACCATGCTGCTCTGTTTACAACTGGCTCGCAGCGACTGACGACGTAACGCTCTTGCGCATGCGCAGCTGTCTAGGCAAGTTCTCGTTATGAAGGACGGGTACCGAAACAAGGCACCGTTTGAAATCACGTGAATCAGTGCTCGGTTGGTACTGTGGAATTCGGTCGGTACCTTAAAAAGTACCGAATTCGGTACTCATCCCTATGCTTTTATTTAAGCCAGTTTTGTTTAGTGACAGTTGTTTCTGGGAGGCATCCTGCTGGTGTTCTCAGCAAATGCCTGAACCCCCTCAACTAGCTCCTCTCGAGACCTCAAGGAGTTTCTCCTTGATGTCCCAGCTCTCGACCACTGAGCTCAGCCCCCGTGTGAAGGAAACTCTTGGCTGCTTGTATTTGCAACCTTGTTTTTTTCCATCATTGTCCCAAGTTAATGACCAGAGGGGAGGATATGATCAGCCTTGCCAAGCTGGAGAAAAGACACTCAGCACTCATATTCTTTGTTTCAACAGCTCTTCCAATCAGTCCAGGCATCTCTGACGTGTCAAGGATTACCTGCAAAGGAGTGTCGACACCCAAGCCAAGGTGGGTGTAGGAAGAGAAGTGATGAATGTCTCGTGTACACACATCTCTGCTGTTACAGAGTACTGAATGGGTCTGATGTACACAGCAAAGACACTCAGCTCATTTACCTGCATGACTACATGAGAAGCTATAGGATCACAGGGACGGCAGTGGCCAACGACCCAAAACGAGACTGGCTCATTAGATGCTTTAAAGATCCCAAAGACATTACTGTTCAGAAAGTGTTTAGAGCTGTGGCCAATCAGAGCACGAGACAGCAAGAAGCTGCTCTGTCCATGTCCTACAACAGTTGATCACAAGATCTGTCCAGAAGGAGCTGGTGGATGAGTTGGAGCTCTGCACGCTGACTTCAGCCTGAGCCACGCCAGCTCTGTGGGATGGGATTATTATGGGCAGGGGCGGATTTAGGACTGAAGAAGATCCGGGGCTTAACACACACACGCACGCGCGCACACACATGTGACACGCACTAGTCAACATCATATATGTCTTGTACCACATAATTTTTAATCTGAAGCTACATATTAAGCATTTTCAGGGCAGAGTATTGTTCCTGTTAGTGTTTAGTGTGAGATGATAGTAAATATTCCCGTTCTTTCTCCAACAACTTTACCTGATAGTAAGCTAACTTTAGGCAAACCAGCAGCACCACAAATATTTTCAAATAAGACTCACAAACCTGAGTCAGCACCAGTCTCATCAAAGCTGGGGTTCTGTCGCCGTACTTTTGGTCTAAAAAACGTCCTTATGTCCATCTTCACTCATGCGTTTCAGGCAGAGAGTGTAGAAGAAGCCGGCTGCTGAAGGGCTTCTTCTTCAGTGGTGGAGGCTCAGGCAGGCTGTATACAAACTACTGCCAGCTGCTCCCTCTCTGTTGGACTTTGGTACTGCATGTTACTTCCGCAATTTAGATCCGGGGCTTTTCATGAAACATCCGGAGCTTCAGCCCAAGTAGCCGGGCCTAACGACACCCCTGATTATGGGATGGGATTATGTATTTTAACCAGGTGTGGAACGTTCCCACATGCAGAGATGCGGTTTCCCAATGCACAGGCACATCTTACAACACAAAATATTAGGAAGGAGTTGAATATTTTTGTGACTAATTTCAAAAAGTTAAACTTTAATAGATTACTTACAGAAAGAGTAAACTATTTCCAGCCTATGTGGAAGGGGTGACCAGATGTCACTACTTTTCACGTGTCCCACAAACTGAGACATTTTTATTTACATCCTCCTATTTTGTGTTTACATCGGGCTAAACGGACTATAAACCAGTGAGAGCTGTCAACAAAACTAGAAGGCAGGAGGACCTTAATGCAGGCCCAGAGCGCAGGAAGGAAATGCCAGAGTGAGCTTGGAGGACAGAGAGATGATCGCAGTAGGAACAAACGTTCTGTTACAACACGGACTTGGAAATGAACTCGTGGGTTAAAGCTCTCTGGCATTTATTCGTTAAACTCTTGATCTGCCTCTATCAGAAGCATTTTCAGGGTTATCCTGTTGTGTTTTGTTCTCAGTAAAGGATCAAGCTGCGCTGATCGAACTGACCAAATCCCTCAGTGGAAACAAAGTGCTTTTAGTTCTCACACACTTAAAGGTGTTAGCCAATTGTTGCTGAGAGCTGTAGTCTGGTCAGCTCCGCTCTGTTCTGTCCTGTTGTATGTCTATGTCTTCATTCATCCACCCATAATCTTCTGATAGTGCTGTCAACCTCAACTGGCAGCCCACGGGCCACATCTGGCCCGCCAGACCTTTCCACTCTGCCCCCAACCTCTGGACCCTAACACCTCCCAACTAGGGGACTTTGAAGCATAGCAGCAAAATTCACGTTCCAAATATCAATACCGTATTTTCCGGACTATAATATAAATCGCACCAGCCATGAAATGTATAATGAAGAAAAAAAAACATAGATAAGTCGCATTTTGGGGGGAAATTTTATTATTTTTCTTACAAAATCTGACCAAGCATTTCACGTTGCAAGACAAGTACCGTAACGATAACAGAATAAACAACGCGGGCGCAGCAGCGCGCCACGGTCTCCAGCAGAGGATGGCGGTGTTTGAAACCCTCCCAGCGGGTGGGGAGAGCACCCTCAGCAGTGCCATATACATAATTTGGTACATAAGTCGCAGGACCAGCCAGACTATGAAAAAAAAGTATGACTTATAGTCTGGAAAATCCGGTAATTGTTTATGTTCTCCAAACACAACTAAAACTACAATCAACACAGTTTAGATTGAAAACAAAGACAAAGAAGACATTTGGAAATGTTTGTAAAAGCAAATTTCATCATTTGAATCCACATCTTATTTGCAAGTCTTTGTACATGAGCCCTGCTGTTGAGAGTGTTTCCTATTTCTTAGATAAAATAAAGAACAAAGTCTCATGTGTTTGTTATTTTCTTATGTTTCAGAGTGTACCCCAAAGAGGATCGTCCTGCTGGGAAAAACTGGCTCTGGGAAAAGTCACCTGGCCAGCACCATATTAGGACCAGATGTCTTCACGTCCTTTCATTGCGCCAAATCTGGAACCCAGAAAGTCCAAGCAGAGACCAAGTGTGTGAACGGAAGAAGCGTGACTTTGATCGACACCCCTGGTTTCTTTGACACAGAAAGGCCTGAGGAGCAGCTGAAGCCTGAGATAGTGAGGTGTACCACAGAGTGCGCTCCTGGGCCCCACGTTTTTCTCATTGTGCTGAAAGTGGACAGATTCACACATCAGGAGCAGGATGTCATCACTAAAATACGTGAATATTTCTCAGACGATGCTTTAAATTACTCTGTCGTTGTCTTTACTCACGGTGACGACCTCCAGGAGGGAATGACCATTGAAGAGTTTGTCAGTCAGAATAAGAATCTGAGTGATCTGGTGAAGAGGTGTGGTGGTCGGTGCCATGTCTTTGATAATAAGCACTGGAACAACAATCAGCATAACGATTACAGGAACAACCAGTTCCAGTTGGAGGCGTTACTTCAGACGGTAGACACAATGGTGATGGAAAACAATGGATCCTTCTACACCAACGACTTTTTACAGTATGTAGAGGACAGAATTGTTAAGTATGAGGAGAACATAAGAGATGATAGAGTTAACTCAACCCTACAGATAATCAGAGAAAAAGCTAAATCGTTGGTGTTCAATGAAGTTTTGATCCAGCTGGCAGGGACTGCCACAGGAGCTTTGTTGGGGGCTTTGTTTGGTGTGCTGGCGTTGGTGAAAGCTGTTATGAAACTTGTGAAGAACCCATCTCAAATATTGAAAGTCATTAAAAGCCTCCCCGGTGCTTCTGCTGCAGCACCTGCAGTAGTTGCAGCAGGAGGTGAGGTGGCCGTTTTAACCACTGGAGTGGTGGCAGGTGTATCTATATTAACAGCAGCCGCAGCAGGAGGAGTAATGGGAGGATTGGCTGGATGCCAAGCAGCTAAAGGAGCAACAACACCAGTGGAGGCAGCAAAGAGGGCTGCTGAGGCGGTCATGGAGAAAAAAAAGACGTTTGATATATAAGTACGCAACAGATTACATGCAGGTGACTTGTTGTTTGTAAAGATTTGTGCCTCCTTTTGGAGCCATTAGATCATCTTTATACCTGTACATATCAATGTAAGATTATTAATTTACATTTAATTAAGGGCCAAAAGACATTAAAATTTCATATCTAGTATGAAATCCATCTTGCGGACACTGGTTTATCTAAATCAGGAGATTGGATCTTTTTATTGGAGGGATTTAGATAACACCTTGTATTAACTGAGACAGAAGAGAGAGAGAGACCTTCAAACGTTGAAGGAAATTTATTACTAAATCATTTTAAACAATTGAAACAAGACTACCTCTGCTAATGATGGATGTTCTGTTTGAATGAGGTGTGAGATGGATGGTGTGTGGTTCATTCAGAACCCTCGTATCCGGAGAGACAAGTCTGAGTGGGAGATGATGTTTTGCCCCTAACTGATCAGAGTTTGAGACCCGTAGTCATAAACACATGAGACACCATTTTGTCACATCCACATACCCTCAGTGAGCCCTCCAACGATGGATCCAGAATGCCAGGTCCTCGGACCTTCCTTCCGGTACTGGAGCCAATGGTACAGCGTCACAGCACGACAAACTAGTCCTTGGATTGCCTCCAGGTAAAAAGCGACAGGTGGTTCACAGCGTCAAAAAGGTGACCCTCCTTGGGTCAGTGAGTTCAGCTTTTACTCTGAAAGGTATCGTTGCTTGGTTGGTAACAAAACCAGAATTTTCCCAGCTTGATGGTTCTCAGCTTAAAAAGAGAAGTACAGAATGGCCGGTCCGATACTTCGATACAATTTCTTTCTGTAGTACATTCCAGATGAGATGTGTTATCAAACTCCGGTACAACTGCATAGCCACAGAGGTCCAGGTATCCATTACTTTGTTATTGTTTTACACAGCCTGGTAAAATCAGTTTTTACGTGACGTGTTTCGGCTCATGACAGAGTTTGCCGGCGTTGGTGGCATCACTTCTGTTAATCCGCGGGCAGCAGATACGTCCTTGTTGATGACACAGTCCCATGTGTTGTTCCATGTTCTACGAACAATGGAACATAGAAGCGAGTGTGAGAAAGAAACAAGTCGAAGACACGCAAGAGCTCTGAAACAAGAAGCAGAAAGTACAATAAAGATATCAGCCCTAACAGACCGCTGCGTAAGGGAGAACCACATAATGGACTGGGAAGGAACACGGATCAAAAATCCAAACGACAAAAATATAAAAGATGGATTAAGGAAGCCATAGAAATAAGGAGACGTGGCCACACGACCATGAACAGAGACGACGGGGTCTACTTATCAAATCAAGCATGGGACTGTGTCTTCAGCGAGGAGAGCGCGGGCAGCAGAGGGCGACATTGTCTCTGATAAACGGAGATGGAAGTGACTCCGCCAGCATCGGCTACAGTGGAGCTCGCATCGTCAGCAAAAACAAGGTAACGCTTTTGCTGTGTCGGAAAAAGAACCGTATTGCCGACTTGTAAATTAGGCTTAAAGTCTCTTTCAAGAATATTTCTCTTATCCGATGGCACAGTCTAGTGGCTGGCAAGCATATCACACAAAAAGTCTGACGCTCTGTTTTTTTTAAGATGGCGACTTCAAGTTTCTTGTGTATAAATGTGCGTCTGTAGCTGACAAACAGCTAACAAACAGCTTTACGAGTATTATTCTCATGTCATGCTTTGTTTTCATGTATTTATATTTTAGAGATGTACTTGTCCGTGAAAAGTTCATCAACTCTGCATCAGCCGAGGTATTCCTTAAATTTGAAGCAATTAAGCGGCAGTCTAACCCCGGGTTTCCACGGCAGCCGTCAGCAGCACGTTACTGCAGCAGCACGTCTTGCTCGCGTAAGCTGCTGCTTGGCCCTTCCCACGAGACGCGAAGCAGCAGGGGAGCAGCTGTCACCGACCGAGCACGAAGTCACACGAGTGACTTCGTCAGTAAACACAACAACAAGCAGGAGAAAACTACAACATGGTTTGTGTTTTATGTTCTGTCCGTTTTATAATCGCCAATACGGACCTGAAAAACAAAGGAGACCGCTAGCTAGGTGATAACTTCTCACGGGGACGCACAGTTAGTAACCTTTTTTAAAAGTAAAGCAACCGGAAAGCAGTACGTTCTTTATTCTGAAAATCTCGGGAGCTTCTCTCCATTTCCGCGTCCGATTTCCTGTCTTTCCTTCCCCAAAAATGTCGAACTTGACCCGTTTCAGAGGCGTCGCGCGTAGAAAATAGAACCGGCGCGTAAAGGCCACGACATGCTGCTCCTGAGACGCGGCCGACTCGCGCTGCTGACGGCTCCAGTGGAAAAGGTTCTGTTGACCACAGCGGTTCCTATCAGCAGCTATGACGTGCTGCTGCAGTAACGTGCTGCTGACGGCTCCCGTGGAAAGCCGGGGTGACGCTATTGGTTAGTTCTGGTCTGCACTCAGTTTCCTATTGCACGGAGCTCTGCGGGGCAGGGGGCGTGCTTAGCAAAAAACTAAAGCTACTTTAAGTCCATGACTGGTTATCATTCCAAGTACCAAGCAACAGACGACTAAGAATGATGAATTTTGATTTGATTTTTATTTATATTATTATCTGTAATGAGACTAAAGTTGTCCTGTTGTCCTCTACAATGGACATGTTGTAAAATAAAAATAAAGTAATAAGTAAAAAAATAAAACAGTAAGAAAATCACACACGTTTTTGTTTCAGGAGGATACATTTTGACAAGCCTCATTTTGGGGTTTGTTTATGTGGCCCAGATGTGTTCCTATGTGAACTGATTGTGGCTACAGCTAGCCTCAGGCGGCATCCGTGTGGGCCACCGAAGGACCATCATTCCTTGTGGTCTGTGAGCTGACTGCACCGTTTGGGTCAGAACCTGGCCAAACTCATTTTCCTACAATGGACCTGCGAGAATAGCACCTCTGAGTGGTTCAAATAAAACACAGACGAGTCTTGGGTTTCGGGATCTCAGACCATTTTGGCTTCATGACATTGTTCCATCTGTTTCAAGCAGTATGCCAATCAGTCAAACACCCTGGATGTGTTTATGTTCGCGCTCCTTTCTGATGACCAAAGCGTCTCCATTCATCAGCTGGTTCATGCACTAACAGGAGAAATGAGTGGAACTTTTCAGCTGCAGATGTTTCAGAAGAAGCTCGGTCTCTGCTTTCGTCTTCACCGTGTGCCACGGTTATTTTCTACCCCACCTAATTTCCCCCCAGGCTACAAACTGAGGTTAAACAGAAGTGATCTCATTGTGTTGCGAGGCAGCATTTTAAATCAGTACTACCCATAATGCACTGCAAGGGATCCACATATGATCATACACTTGGGACCACAATAATTGGGGGCTGCAGAATAATTAGAAATCCTAATTAACGTTTGTATGAATTGGCAAGAGTTTAGTTTTAAAATGATGAGTCATCAGGTGGATTTCAGTCCTTATGAACAACTAATGAGTCTCAGAAATATTACAAAATCTAGCAGTGAAGCACTTTGGATCAGGATGTCAACTAGCACCTTATGAAGCTGCTAGAACTGTTTACCTATCACGCGGTGGACATCTACTGATCGGACTTTGAAATCGCTGTCTGAAACTTGCTTTACAACTATCTACGATCAGGTCTGACTTGCAGGGTTTCTGCTAGCTCTGCATAACTATCAGGTCACACTTGGACAGGGTGAAACTATTCTACTCAGCTCTAACCTCTAGAAGTGAGAAACTCAGGAATGCTCCAGATGAAGGTCTTACGGAGGGTGGTATGCAGCTCCAGGGGCCAACCGGAGTAAAACTAGACTGTTTACTGTGTCTAGATCTCCTCAGAGACCCCACCTTCGTCTGCATTTGACAGTTACTCTAGAAGAAGTTTGGATCAGGAGATGCAGCTGGGGCTGGCACAGATGAAAGTAAAAGAAACCATAGCAGGAGACGTGTTTGTACCTGTTTTATCTCTTTTGCAACAGATGATGCAACAGCTGGGTAATGTGATACTCAGGGCTGTTTTCTACACCAGTGGTTCCCAGACGTTCCCACCTTCTACTCACAAATGAACGTTGCAAAGGCTCATCGCTGTGTCCCACAGCGAGGCGCTCCTGAACACCTGGGACAGCAACAGGTTGGACAACAGCTTCCTCACTTTTCTGGACAACTTTCAGACGAGTAGATGAAGAACCAGACCAAAGAACAGGAGTGACATCACACATCAAGCCATGAAACTATTTGCACCTTCCTACAGAAAGATCAGCCTCAAACACCCATCTCCTACTTGTTCCATGGGAAATATTCGTGTTTCCATTCAGAAAGGTCAGGTGAAGATTCAAAGAGTCCAACAGAGAGAAACAAGCTGAAGAACCTTGTAGAAGCAGAGGAGAATCTGAAGGTTTTGGAAAACAAAAGAACATCTAGCGGTCCCTTTCTGCCTTTAGAAGAGCTCAAAGTGAGTTAGACGAGCTGTGACAACCAAGAGTTACCTGACAGGTAGCACGCTTGCTCTGGGCTCTGTGAACTGTTGCTATGTTTTGCCAAAAGCAACAGGAAATGGTGTTTGGTTTGTTGGCCGTGGTTCCAAGATTGTCTGCGTCAGATTGTTAGTTGTCTTCAACCACTAGATGGCAGTAGAGACGACTGGCTGATCAGTCAAGTTGACAGGTGGAATATTTCTTTGCAGAGCATCAGAGCCATGCAGCTCTGATGCCACATCTGGTAGGTTTCCAACCAGACAGCCTGTCTGTTCCAGCAGGACGATGGTCGTATCTCCAGAGCTGATCTCCAGGTGGAGCAGCTCACACCTCCTAGCTGGAGCTGGTACTGAAGGAGAATGATTTACCTGATGCACGTACGCCCAGTGCTCTGACTTAGTAAAGGTCAGTAAGATTTTTTTCTTTTTAACTGGTTGGAGCAGAACCATGCCCTGCAGTTATTATCTATCAGAACATGACAGCATTTTTTTACTGTCAATAAAGAATTTTTAACAAAACGTGGATTCATGACACAGGAAACAGGCTCAGCTGGAGGTTATGGTGGTTCAGCGTTACACATAAATAGTTCCAGTCTGTTTTCTAGCTTCCTGTTATGCCTTAGTGCCTCAGGTTCTCGACCCTCTCCCGTGTGCCCAAGTGTTCCAGTTCTTTACCCGTTTTGTCCCTTTCTGCTGTCCCC